TTATCCAGTTTCCAGTTTATTCAGTGAGTTTTTTTGAGAAGTATTTGTTCAAAAATAATACACAAGGCTGGAACTTCAACAACTTAGACGTGTCGCATTCAATCGCAATCGAGCTGCATTCAATTATGACGTGGCAATCTATTACAACGTTCATTGGTCCAATAGTGAGTCCACATTCCAAGGCTTTCAAGTTTAAAAATGAAGCCCCTGGATTATGTTGCGTGGAAAGATCAAATTGACTCCATTGGTACCACCACCAGAGCCACTACATTCATTGGTTTCCAAAAATGGGCCAGATTCTACACATTTTTTGACTCATATCCAGCAAAATGTGTACAGAAAAGACCGTAAATTTGATAGAGTTAATAAATCGTCTGGTGGGGGTGTTTATATTGGTTATAAAGGACTTTATAAGCTCAGAAGTGTTAAATGTAGCAGCTTTTGATACTCATTTTCCGTATATTGATCTGCTAATTGTTAAGTGTAAGGTAGAATTTAAAACTTTTTATATAGCTACTTTGTATGTGCCTGACAAAATAGGACTTGAGGAATTTGAGTCATTTTTTGAGTGCTTTGAGCAACTGGATTATTTAAACAACAATAGCACAATCCTAGTGGGTGATTTTAATGTCCCGCATTTTGTTGTGAACAACCCTTCTGATGCTAAGACAGAAATTGTACCTAACTATATGGCCTTGTTTAATCTCAGACAGAATAACGACGTCCGTAATGGATTAAATCGGTTGCTTGATTTGGTCATATCTCACTACTCTTGTGTAGTAGCTCATGACTATGGTGCCTGAGGATGACCATCATCCGGCACTGTTAATTAGAATACCAAATTTATTTGCAAGGGAGGCTAAATTTAGCTACAATTTAACGAATAAGGTATACAATTTTAGAAAAGCCGATTTTCCTTCACTGTATAGAGAACTCCTATCAATAAATTGGACTTCGACTGTGAATTCTGATGATATATATATCGCAGTAGATCGTTTTTATGAAAAATTGTACAGCACTTTTGATACTCATATAAGTACCTGTATACAAAAATTATTGTCACAAGTATCCACCTTTTTATAATTCCAATATTATTACAAGTATTAAACAAAAAGCTAAATACAGGAAAAGGTTTGCTAAGCTTGGACATCAGTCAGATCTTGAAGAATTTCAGAGACTGCGCCGTTCAATCAAATTTCAAATAAAGAGGGCTATAATATCTACATGGAGAATGTTCAGAATAGTTTAGTTAGCAATCCAAAGAAATTTTGGTCGTTCACGAACATGAAAAATAGTACATCACGAATTCCTGGCGAAATGAAGTATCAAAACGTACTGTCAGCCTCAGTCGATTGTCAATGTATACTAAGTGACATATAAATCCGAACACCCAGTTTAAATGGTTTTATTTTAATAAAAGTTGGTGAATGTATTTATCTTACTGTAAATAACAAGTGAAAAAATTTTCAGCCTTATCAGTTGGACATTCCGGTTTTTGTACTGCTTTTTTTTTTAATTCACTAACGCTCTAAAAATGAATATTTCAGCCGCAGTAAAGAATCAACGTTGGCGGATTTTGGTTCTTGACATCCTTTACGATCGGTTACGATGCCTAGAGTACGGAAACCTGTACGATTTCGTCAACTTAGTGAGTTTGATAGGGGCCGTATAGTGGGACTTCGGGAAGCTGGACTTTCTTTTCGGGCAATTGCAGTTAGAGTGCAAAGAAGTGTAGACACTGTGGTTAGGTGTTGTCAGAAATGGCTTCGAGAAGGCCGTACGCAAAGAGCAAGGGGCACTGGACGCCGCCGTAGAACAACAGACCGTGAAGATCGCCGCCTAAGATTATTGGCCTTAAGGGACCGTTTCTCCACTACCAGGTCCATTGCAAATGAATGGTTTGCAGAACACGGAAGACCTATTGGCATGCGAAGTGTTTACCGACGAATGAGAAGTTTTGGCTTGTTTTCAAACTGGCCACACTGGGTCCTCCCTTTAACTCGAGAACACCGACGTAATCGCCTTGAGTGGTGCAGACAACGGTCACTCTGGGATCAGGAATGGCAAGTATTGTCTTTAGTGACAAGTCTCGATTTTGTTTAGGCATGCACGATGATCGTGCCAGGGTTAGAAGGCGACGTGGTGAAAGGAGGAATCCACAGTTTTTTGTTGAAAGACATGTTCATCACACTGTTGGAGTTATGGTTTGGGGTGCTATAGCTTATGGCTCCAGGTCACCTTTAATCTTCATCAGAGGTAACATGAACGCGCAGCGTTATATCCACGAAGTTCTAGAACACCATCTTTTACCCTTTCTTGACACCCTGACAGATCCAACTTTCCAACAAAAGAATGCCCGACCACATGTTGCAAGAGTCACAATACACTTCTTTCAACATAATGATGTCACATTGTTACTATGGCCACCAAGATCTCCCGACTTATCCCCAATTGAGCACGTGTGGGATATGATGGGTAGGAGATTGCTCAATTTGCAACGTCCTCCTCAGACTCTAGAAGCACTTCGAGAGGAGTTGGTGGTTGCCTGGAATGAGATACCACAGGAGGACATTGACCACCTGATCAGAAGCATGCCTAGGCGCATTGGAGAATGCGTAGCACATCAGGGTGCATCCACACATTATTAAAGGTCAAAGGGCTTTAAAGCAGTGCAATCATTTTGAAATTTTTATCATTTACTTATTATGCTTCATTAAGTACTTATACAAAATTTTATTAAAATAAAACCATTTAAACTGGGTGTTCGGATTTATATGTCACTTGGTATATTTGCTAACTTTTTCAGCAGTGTTTACCACCAATCATACTTAAACGTTGATATCGTTGAGCTCGTTAACCATAACATCCATCTAATTTTAGCTCCTGTCCAGGATAGCGAAGTGATTTTAGCCATTAGTCAGGTAAAGGATAAGATGACTTCGGGTCCTGATGGTATTCCTTCGTTCCTTGTAAAGGACTGTGCTAGAACTTTTTCCCCTGTACTTACTCTCTTATTCAACATGTGCTTAAAATCCAATATATTCCCGAATATATGGAATGTGTCCAAAGTTTGTCCGGTCTTAAAAAATGGAGAAAAATCAGATGTCGAGAATTATCGTCCAATTTCTCTTATATGCATTTTTGCGAAAGTCTTTGAAATAATCTTGTACAATCGCTTGTATCCTTCAATAAAAAATCAAATATCACAAAAACGGCACGGTTTTGTCAGCAACCGATCTACAGTCACCAATTTGGTTATTTTAACCCAATATATTTCTGAAGCTCTAGATGATAACTGCCAAGTTGATGTGATCTATACGGATTTTTCAAAGGCATTTGACAAAATTGATCATGGGGTTTTGTTGATGAAACTTGGTCACTTTGGTCTCTCACTTAGCGCTATAACATTCTTCAGGTCGTATTTGTCAGAGCGAAAACAATTTGTTGAATATAATTGCTTTAAATCTGAAACCTACTTAGCCCCATCTGGTGTTCCCCAGGGGTCCAACTTGGGACCATTGTTATTTTTATTATTCATAAATGATCTTTGTGAAAGTATGAATGGTCAACAGTTATGCTTTGCAGATGATATGAAGATATATTCATCAATCAGTGACGTGCAGGATTGGTTAGATTTACAGATGCAGTTAAGTAGTGTTAGGATTTGGAGCGATCTCAATAAATTACATCTAAATATAAGTAAGTGCAGAGTAGTTAGCTATAGCAGAAAGAAAAATGTTTGTGTATTCAACTATAATATCGATGGTGTGGTGCTGGAAAGAAGCGATATATAGTCAAAGATTTGGGTATTATATATGACCATAAATTAACATTTACTACTCATATTTCGCGGAAAGTTTCGGAAGCCTTTAAGTCTTACGGTTTCATTGTCAGGAACTGTAAGCGATTTGATAACTTAAGGGCCTTAAAAGTCTTATATTTTGCATATGTACGTACAAAACTAGAATATGCGAGTGTTGTATGGAATCCGTGTTACCAGACTTATATAAATGATATTGAGAGGGTCCAAAGAAAATTTCTAAAGTTTCTATACTCCAAATCTGAAGGAGTTTACCCTGAGCAAGGCATTAGCAATATGGAACTATGTGAGCGTTTTTAAATTCATAGTTTAGAATGCAGAAGGAAAGTTTCATCTGCCATATTCCTTTTCAAACTGCTAAATAGCATTATTGACTCCCCAGTCATTTGGCACAGATTAATTTCAATGTTCCTTCGTTCTCTTCACGCAACTATGTAATTTTTAAGCTATCAAGGGCTAGGACCAACGTGTTAGTCAAATCTCCTACATGTGTTATGTGTAAACATCTAAATTGTATTAGCTGTCATTGTGATATGTTTACTTGTTCGCTTAACTCAGTAGTTAGAATGGCTTATTTGTATTTGAAATAACTTTTTTTTTAACACCACTGAATATTATTTAATTGTGCTTATGTAATTGTCCTATAAATGGGGTTGGACAATAAACGCTATTATTATTATTATTATTATTATTATTATTATTTTTATTAAAACAATAATTGCTTTCAAATGACGTCATTTTTCGCAACTTAATACCTTCCACATAATTTTATGCCTACTTTCAAGTAAGTTGATGGGGGAATGACAGTCCTGCCAACGTATTTTGCTAGACAGATGGCGGTACAAACACTTCTCAATACAATTACCTATATTCCATTTATTTACCCTTTTATTATTTATTATTCATCCCAGTTCATAGCTAAGACAGGACAATGTCTGTCGGATCACCTAGTTTTTAATAAATGATGTCAATTATACCGATCTTTGATTGCCTATCATTTAACTCAGGGTAAAATCTAACTACACCAATCTCCCAGTCCACTCGGGCAGCATTAGCCAAATGTCATGTCCAATAAAACTCTCAATTACATGGAAACTGCGCAAGCTATCTACATTGGCCTTCAAGTAAAGTATAGCTTACTAACTGCGTTACAGTATCCTTATCATTGACTTTGTTACAGTTATACTGAAAAGGTTAACGCAGTACACGCAGACTTATGGTCCGATTGTGAAGGTTCATGATGGCCCTTTTAGCATGGCTTTGGTCATCACCGATCCCAAATTCATGGAGTACATCCTGAGTTCCACAAAGATCATTTCTAAAGCCTTTCAGTATGACTTCTTCCATGAATGGCTGGGTACTGGGCTGTTGACTAGCACTGGTAAGTAATAGCACGTGTTCAACCAAAAAATAGCGGTGTTCAAAAATTTATCTGAAAGATACCAGCGCCATATATAAGACAATAGCAGATTACAGAAATAAATTTAGAAATTGAAAGCCAAAAACATTGAGCAACTCACTCATATCACTATTTGACATCGTAATAGAAAATAATTCATAGGTAGATACACTAATCAGCGGAAAATAATTTCTTGATTCCTCACGACAGATATCGTGTGCAACTATATCATTAGATATAGGTTTTTTGGAATTTGGGCTTTGTATCCAGTTGTTAACTACCAGGTACGCTAATTAAGATCCTTGAACCATAGTCTACCTATTCAACACACTTTGATACCATTGCAAAGCACTTTAGATTGCAACTTTTGCATGTATTTTCAGCTCTAGAAATTAGATGCTGCTTTATGATCCACTATGTCCACATTTTTTTCAGGTATAAAATGGAGGAAAAGGAGGAAGATGCTGACTCCATCATTCCACTTTTCTATTCTGGAAAACTTTATGGACGTTTTCGAAAAAGTTGGCGACATTTTCATCGAAAGATTATGGGAAGAAGTAGGAAAACCAAGCGTTGATATATACCCGCTAGTATCTCTTTGTACATTGGATATTATTTGTGGTATGTGACAATTTCATAGTCTGGTTCTTCACACCGGCTTTGTGATTTACTCACTCGATTGAGTTAGTTTTTCATATCCATATGAATTGTCAAATCGTTGTGGGAACATCAAATTTGTCTGACAGCTTGAGTTCAATGTGTTCGAGATAGAAGCGCGAGAAGTGTGTATCAACACATGTTAGAAAGAGATAAAAACCAGCCGAAGAGCGAAGATCATCACCACATTGCCGCGTTGCCAATATGTTATACTAGGAAGTGTTCACAGGTACACAGACTTCCACAAAAGGTTAGGTTGTTGTCAAACCCAAGAAGGAGGTCTATTCAAACATTTAATTTAATATTTTGTTTTCATTTTGATTAGAATTATTTATTTCAATTTTGATGTTTAATTAATTTTATAATTATTTTTGATTTCCACCGATTGTGATAAAATCAACACATCATGAGTTATTGTTACATTTTGCGACAGCGAGCGGTCCTGACCTTTCATTTCGACTTAAAATGGAGGGCCGTTAGGGCCGATCCGGAATCGATCCTAAACAGATTCGACACAATTCAAAAATGTGTACGCTCATAATATAAACATTATTTGGGAGTTAAGAATAAACTAACGCATATTTTCAATATGAATCTTAATTCTCAACGTGATGTTGAGCTTTGCTATCCAGCCGGGTCTATATGTTTCTAACGTATGTGTCTATACACACTTCGCTCTGGAACTCATTGAACTCGAGCAGTCAGACACATTTGATTCTCAGTGTATATACCAGGAAAACCGGCGAAGTGATAAAAAACGATTCCTGATTGAGAGCGCAGCGATCGAAGCGGGTATCAGATACTGCACATGCGCAGGGCATCTGAGGCTATATTGCACAGCTTAGGCAACAATCAGCTATGAAACTCTCCTGTCAGTGCCAAAAACGGCCGTCATTTCAGCGGAGAAAGTCGCCTGTAAATTCTTCTAGTACAACTATGACAGACGTTTTAGTATTCCGTGTTCAGCGGCTAAGGCAGGGTTGCCGCGTACCATGCCAGCGGCCGTAGATATTCTTTGCAATAGTAAACAACATAATATTCTGATATAGTTTTTGTGATCCAATAATAAAGAGGAGTTTGTCCAAAAAGAAGATACTGGGTATTGATAGAAATATATTTACGAAAATTTGTAATTGTGGAAGACTATCAGGAATTACAATAAATGGTATAATATTCACTTTTGCTATGTATAATATATAAATATATCGGACAATACACGCGTTTAAAGCCTAAAAAAGTGTATTTTATAAGTGGCTGTCAGGAACAATGGAATAAGAAGCTCATATCAAAAACTTAGCTACTTTATCTCCAAAAGTGACCGACTTACAAGTAGTCAAAGTTCAGTGTTTTTCGTACAAAATATCCCGTACGTCCAGGAATAGTAAGTGCAAACCTTATTTCAGTATGCTATATCAAACATCTTTTTTTGAAAGAGGTGTTTTAAAATGTTCTAAAATATATAGGATATTCCATTTAAAAAATGTATGCTTGTGTTGGCACGTAGATATGAATCACCCTGTGGAGAGGAGTATATTTTCAAAATAAGAAGCGTTTGGTTGCCTACAATTTTTATAACCAACTTTGTTAGGTATTTAAAATATCGGAACCATCTACCGATTACACATTAAAAGGCCCTGTATGTATAGAAGTATCCTAGTTGAGTTGTCGCTATAAGATGGTGCCAGGTTAGATTGCGTTGGTTGTCACTTTGTTGGTTGTATGCTCGTTTTTTTTTTCGCGACAAAGACACGGAAATAAATGAAATATTTGCGATATGCGCTAAAGCGGAATTCAGATCACCGAAATTCTTGTGATTCAGTGAATGTTGTGTTTGTCTGATGTTTTCGACAGTATTTACATTGAAAATGCAATAGATTGAGAAATATCGCAGCAGAGTGATACATTGCAAAAGTAAATATTTTTCCGTTGAATGTAAATATTGATAGCCTTCCACCATTATAAATTTATTTTTAAGCTTTTTCATAAATATCTCAATACTCAATCGCTTCTTTTTGAACAAACATACTGATTCTTATTATTGGTTCATTCGCTGATTAATATAAATTATACTAGATTGAATCTCAATTTTAAAATGTCAACGATTGCAAATGATATATGCGGCCCCTTTCATTATCGTAGAATTTACATGCGATTTTATTCCCCCAAAATAGCGGTCGTTTTTGACACCGACAGGAGAGTTTCATAACTGATTGTTCTCTAAGCTGTGGTTATAGTCTAAGATCCGGCCTGCATGAATCTGACTTTTTTTGATAAAACTTACCAAGTTGTAATCTATTCTATCATTCATAAAAATCAAGTTTTTAAAAAATAGATACCTTCAGATTCAAACGGAAGGATCCTAGGCCATTATGAAAGTGTGCATATTCCGAATCTGTCAGAGCACAGTTTTGCCAGAACAGGCACAAAAATCCCTCAGAATTGCTGCAGGTATACATGATCATTGCGATTAAAAATCCCGCATGAATTACGATATTGATCGTCACCATGCACAGTGCACGCAGGCCACAGCAGTGTGGAAGCGACTGCGCATTGTGACGTACGTACACCGACAACGACGTCGCTTGTCCACCGGGAGATGACGTCACGCGTATGGACACTCGACTGTAGGAAATATTTTTTATAAAGTTTTAAGGGTAAATGTACGCCTAATACTTGTATGTGAGTAGACTGATTGGGGTTGGAGGCGTATAAATATACCAACATCATAAAATTGATATATACCTTCCCCCACCCCACGTAACCCCTAACCCCTACAAAATGTTTTTCCGAAAATGATCAGGTTCGTCTGTAGCGTCAAAAAACGAAGTTTGAGCGATTTTTATTTTGTTCTGTTTTTGACTTTTTTCTGCGCTGCCACTGGACCGATTTCCAAAAACTACAAACTACATTGGCATAGTAATAACACTGTGTAAGGCAGACCAACGAAAATAAGTGGCATGATTTTTCGTGATGTACATGTCATATAACATCCAAAAAACATAACATCTCATTTTCGAAAATTTTCCCGACTTCAATACCTCCCCGCTAGGAGCGTTGGAAGTAAAGTCCCCCAAATCACAGTTAAGTTTGGCTCAAAGAGCGGGGGCTTTCTATCCGCGAAATGTGTGATATCCCTCAGACTATATCCAAAAAAAATCCCCCAAATATTGAGGTCGTTGTTACAGCACGAACAGCATTGCCGTAGCAAAGCCGTAGTTTCTCCTAACCTGTTTTCCAGCCAATAACGCAATCAGGTTTGAAGCGCATGGGCTTTATACACGGAGGGCTTCACGCCCGAAATGACGGCTGGAACGTAATAAAAGGTTGTTCCGACTTGTATTTGTAGTTACTCTCAATGTCGCAGCTGAAGGTTTTTCCCCTTGCTGATATCTTTTTCGTTTTCAGCTTATCTTGTCTATTTTTCTTAGTTTTCATTCGTATTTTTTTGCCTGAGGGTTTTAATATTGGTTTGTTTCGGTCTTGACAAAATTTTATTTTCTACTTTTCTCTAGATTTTATAAACGATTTTTGTATTCATTAGTGCCTTTCAATAATTAATCAGATCACCTAAATGACAAAACATATTTACAACTTTGACTTTTCATGGGTTTAAAGCTCTAACTATAAGGGCAAGGGGGGAGCATCAAACCCAAACATCAACCTGGAACAAGCGTTTATTGCATATAGGCGCGCAGGTGCTCGGCTGCGTGCACAAAATGACGGCTGCCTGGAGAGCAAATCCGGAATCGATCCTAAACAGATTCAATACACAATTCAAAAGTATGTACGCTCAAAATAAAACCATTATTTGGGCTTAAAGCGGAAACTAATGAATATTTTCAATATGCATCTTAATTAAAGGAACTGGTGTAACATTATCGGCAACGCGGCAGATGTCGATGAGCTTCGCTATCCAGCCGGCTTCTATCTCTGTCTAACATATGTGCCTATACACACTTCACTCTCGTACACATTGAAGTCTCTCCCTGCAGACATTCGTCAGAAAATGATAATGAAGCGCCTTCAACTCAAGTGTTCAAAAAATCACTCGTTACGTTTTGACCTCATGATGGAAGAACTGTGTAACGTGTTTTGATTTCAAAATTTGAGATGAAGGAGGAATAAGAGCTTGTTTTTAAAAATACATTTTTTATTTTATTTATTGCGATTTTTTTGATGCACTGAGGGTGTGTCTTCATCGTTGGCTCGGTGAAGGAATTCCCGACAAACTTTTACTAGATTTTGTGTCAGCAGTTCGGTCATCAAACGATAAACTTATGGCACTATTTTATTGAGATCCTGACCTCTTCTGCAAGTACTCTGACAGTCAGTCGACGATTTGCACACACATTCAAAATGTGAGTGTCATCAGTTAAGGCCGAAGATCTTCCTGGTCGAAGGTCAACTTCATCTGATGCGTAGCGCTTTATACGACTTACATCATCATCTTCGTATTTCCACGGAAATCACACATTGTAAAAATCGTTTCCAACGCTGAAACACATTGCACTCAAATAACACAACGCCGGAAAGAAGTGATATATCAATAATCCGAAAGAGCAGTTTACTAGGGATGTGGCTATGCAAAAAAAAAACGATCAATGGAATCGATTTTTTCTTTTTCAATATTAATCTTGTAAAAAATCTATTTTAAAAGAGAAAATAATCGATTGTTCTGGAAATCGATTTCCGATTTTAATGATTTCAAAATCGATTCTGGTGGTTTCGATCCAGATCCCGGTGATTTCGATTCCGACTACAACGGTTTTGATTCCGGCGTCTGTGAGTGAAATTTCTATTCCTTAAAAAAAGGTCGGATTTGAACGTAACAATACTGCTATGTTTCAAATACTGCTGCTTCCGCAATAAGAAAATTCGCACTAACGCCTTTGATTGTAGCGGCTTAAAATAGGGAATGACTCAAAGATAATTTGGTATGGAGTAGAGTATAGACGATTGTTAAATTTATGTTTAGTTTTCAATATTATATTTTTAATGAAGAAACGTTATTTCGCGCAAAACAACATTTTTATACCGAAGCAGCTGCGCAGCCAGAATCCTAAATACTAGGACAACGCGGCATCATGTAGGAGAGCTCTGAGGAGCAAAGCCCGTTTTGTTTATTTTTTCTTTTAGATATTTTGAAATATACATTCAGTTGTCAGGTTGGTCAGTGGAACGACGTAAACTTGAAAATAAGAAGCCTGATTGAATTTTATAATTTTTTGCCTCCGTTGGCCATGTTTCGGTACTATTATTTGCGATGTGGGTAATTTTAGAAGGTTTTCCACCAGTATAGTTTCAAAATCTGGAAAGTCGACATTCTGGCTAATGTATACGAAGTTTAGAATCATTTAATTGAAGGAATTTTTTAATAGACGTATTGGCATCATTATAATTTTAACAATCGATGTCGCAAGAACAGTAAAACAAAATATTGCCGTCATATTTATCTATGTTACATAAGCACAAGGTTAATGTTAAAAAATTAATAAACTAAATGACTAACATATTCTTGCTAACAATGAAGCTCTTAATAACAGTAATTTTATTTTATAAATAGTATTGAAAAAAATGCTAACCCTACTAAGTTACAACTATAAATTAAAGTCTAAAAACACATCAATCGATAATTTACTAGCCGGCTCTTCTATTTGTAATAATATATTTCGAGAATATTCTTCCTTAAAGGAATGTTCTAGCTCTTATTAGGAGTAGAAAATAGGAATTTTGGGGTACTCAACAGAAAACTTACCATTGATGATCTACGCACCTGCTTCACCTAAAACGATTATATCCAGATTTCAGACACGCATGAATTTCGGTAAATTCTCTTCAATAGTATGTCTTTGGAGTTTCGCATTGCTAAATTTTCATGTTTGATCCCTGTGGCTAGAATTGAAGGAAACTTGATACTCTGTGAAAAATGAGAATTTCGGGACGTCTTGAAGAGCTCATCCAAAAACTAACATCACGTTTTAGATACCCAAGAATGTTTCAAATTTCAACCAATCGGACTATTAGTATTTTTTCATTTCCAGAGGCTTCCATGGGAATATCAATCAATGCAATAAACGATGGCGATTCAGAGTACGTGAGAAGCGTGAAGCAAATGTGCCAGATCCCGGTGGATCGTACGTTTGACTTCACTGCTCCTTTTCAACCATGGATTCATCCGATAACTCCGAACTATTTCAAACAGAAAAGGGCTATCAAGGTAAGAGACAGTTCCTCCACTTTGCTTTCCTCCTTCTTCTCTCTCTCAACGTATTTTCTTTCATAAAAAATACTATCAATCCGGCTGTTAGATCTGGGAAGGTTGAGCTTAGTAAAATATCGATTCTCATTCAAAATTAAACTTTGGGACATTATCATAAGAAAATATTTTCAGGTGCTCCACGAACACACAGATAGAGTAATCGACGAAAGGATAAAGAATCCAATCAACATTTCAGATGAGGACAAAGACTCAGTGGGAATGAAGAAACGATTGGCTTTCCTAGATCTTCTTCTGACAGCTACCATTGATGGAAAACCGTTGTCCAGAATGGATATCAGAGAGGAAGTGGACACGTTCATGTTTGAGGTGTTATATGACACTGTCAAAACACAGTTTTTGCGATTTCCACAATATTCACAATATTAAAAATTTTCATAATATTTACAATATCCGCATACTCGCAATATTCATAATACTCACAATTCTCACCGTTTTAACAATATTCGTAATATTCACAATATTCACAACATTCACTATATTCGCGATATTCACGATTTTCGTAATTATCACAATTTCGCAATATTCACAATCACAAATGTTATAATTTTCAATAATTTCAGTTTTTACCATTTTCGCAAGTTTTAATTTACACAAGTATTTCACCAAGTTTTTAAATTTGTCAATTTTCACAATTTTGAAATATCTTTTATTACAGGGTCACGACACTACATCTGCAGCGATTGCTTTTGCTATGTTCTCTTTGGCAGAGAATCGAGGCATTCAAGTAAGTAGTACAAATGAAAAGAGTTTCATGAGTCTTAGCAGGATCACACTTATTTGTTGATATTGACATTGAATCTTTCTTTACTGTAGCAAAAAGTGTTAGAAGAACAAATATCGATATTCGGCGAAAAGAAAAATAGAAAAACTACAACGACTGATCTCCAAGATATGAAATATTTAGAACTAGTTATTAAAGAAACACTTCGTCTGTATCCGTCAGTGCCATGGGTTGGAAGAAAATTCCCAGAAGATATAGAATGGGGTGAGTAAATAATATTTGAATGTTCGTAGTCTGGCACGTAAACTTAACGTTTTCCAAAGAACGATTCAAACGATAACTTAGCCGCTATAGAGCGATCAAGCATAAAAAGTAATTATTTTTTTGTTCTTTCAGAGGGAACACTGTATCCTAAGGACATGAACTTGATGCTCTACATCTTTGGTACGCAAAGAGATGCAAGGTACTTCCCAGAACCTTTGAAGTTCAGACCAGAAAGATTTTTGGATACAGAAATTCCCAATCCGTTTGCCTACGTACCTTTTAGTGCTGGACCAAGAAATTGCATAGGTAAGGATTTTGAAACTTGGAGACTTCGAGACTTTTCGGCACTACCGAGACTTTAAGACTGGAGAGCCTTGTGGACTTTGAGACTTTGTGACTGCAACTTAGAGACTTTGTAGCTATGAGGCTTTGAGGATTGATGGCCTGGAGTTTAGGAAATATTGTGACTTTGAAATTTGTTTGCAGTCTCTAAAACACAAAAATATGTGGTTTTAATGTTTTTAATGCTTGTCATTTATTTTCCAGGACAAAGATTCGCAATGATGGAAATGAAGAGTACGATATCAAAAATTGTTAGGAACTTCGAGCTTCTGCCAGCCACACCGAAACATGAGTTACAGCTAGCACCAGAAGTGATATTGGTATCTAAAAATGGAATTAGAATCTCTCTTAACAGAAGGAAATAACTATAGTGAATAGAGCAACTTGTACTTAGATGACGCGCTGTATACAGAGTATCTGGAAGCAAATGAGGTTATGAAATCTTTTGTATGCTAAAAATCAAATACATGTTTTCAAAAGTAACAAAACGACAAATAGACTAATACGGAAAATGAATCCGTTTGGTAAGAGACTTGACACCTATATTTCGGCACCAGTTTCATCCTTCTGGGCCCATAACTTATATGACTTCGACGCTCACTCTTTTCAATAAGAGTATCAAAACACTTTTTACTTTCTTCTTTACAGTTATTGCGTTGTGTTTGAAACACTCTGTCACAACCTTTGAATAGGAGTGGGTCTTTGGTAAATACACTTAATGAGCAATTTTTCAGTATCACTGTTATGTCGACACTCATGGGCTTTTCAGGTATGTGTAGGCGCATGCTTTTGCCTAAGTAAACATTTTCAAATCTGACAGCGCACGCGCTATAAGTTAAATGAAACTCGGAAGTAGAAGGCACGAATGTAGACATAACGTTGCTGTAAGATTTATTATTCACGTCAGCGTTGAAAGCTAGAAAAATACCCCGCATCAACAATTTTCAAAATTACTGGCTTTCCAGACTTCCGTCTCTGCAGTCTGCTCGTGATACACAATTGGCCGAACATTCGTCTTCTGCAATCACGATACTGAATGTTCATAAACACAAAATTGTACAGTGACCATTTCTGGCTGAAAGTTGTAGAAATCTGAATATACTATCAGGATCACAGAAACGCGAAGAGGTATTCGTATCTGTCAGATCCTGATATAGGCTAGGCGGGAAATTCAATTACCTCTCTTCGCTTCTACGATTCTAATACTGGCTACAGACATGCTTGACTGAAACTAGTAGAAATTGAAACTTGCAACCAGGATCACAGAATCGAAAGAAGGTATCGTGAATGCTTCTCGTCGCTTCTGCAAACCTGATACTGCTAATTTTGAAACACGCATAATTGGACATATTCCTGGCTGAAATTCTCTTATTGTATGAACTGAAATCTGTTGTCAGGATCACAGAAACACGTGTATGTGTGGAATCTTCAGTCAGCTCCTGGTGCATTCTTGGCGGAAAATTTCGTAGATGCTTCTGATAGCTTCTGCGATGCTGATACTTTTAAATGCATAAAATCGTATATCGGCTATCAGATATTCCTCCCTTGAAGTTCTAGCGACTGGAGTTTAGTATCAGGGCCACAGAAACCATTGGCTGAAAGCATCGTATTGTATTAACTGAAACATGTTATCAGGATTGCAGAAACGCGAAGAGGTATTCGAATCTGTCAGATCCTGATATAGGATAGGCGGAAAATTCAATTACCTCCCTTCACTTCTACGATTCTAATACTGACGTCAGACATTTTTGACTGAAACTAGTAGAAATTGAAACTTGATACCAGGATCACAGAACGAAAGAAGGTATCGCGAGTGCTTCTCGTAGCTTCAGCGACCCTGTTACTAAATTGAAAAGATATGTCGAATCTACACTTGGCTCCTGATATAAAATTGGCGGGAAAATCAAATACATCTCGTCGCTTCTGCAACCCCGATACTGCTATTTTTGAAACACACATAATTCGACAATATATTCCTGGCTGAAATTCTCTTATTGAACGTACAGTAATCTATTGTCAGGATAACAGAAACGCGTGTATGTGTGGAATCTTCAGTCTGCTCCTGGTACAAAATTGGCGGAAAATTTGAATTATCTCGTAAACGCTTCTGATAACTTCTGCGATGTTGATATTTTTAAAAGCATAAAATCGTATATCGGTTATTAGATGATCCTCCCTCAAAGTTATAGCAACTGGAGTTTGGTATCAGGACCACAGAAACAATTGGCGGGGAAATCAAGTACTTCTAGTTGGTTCTGCGAACCCGTTACAAAATTTTCATCTCTGAAAGTATCGTATTGTATAAACTGTAAAATTGTATCAGGATTGCAGAAATGTGAAGAGGTATCGAATCTGTAGTCTGCTTCTCGTTTTAGATTGTCGGGAAAAGATTAAACAACGTAAATAACGTAACAAATACTTTACTTAAAAATGCTTGTTTCACTATATTGCTTAACTGTTCCATATGCGTGTGATTGAATGGAAGTTTGCAACTTTGACATTTGGTATCATTTTAAAAAAAATATGAGTACTCCGTTAAAAAAGCAACAATTAAGCAAGCAAAATTCCTTTTACAAAACACACATAAAGCTGTTTTGCTTATGAAGGCCATATTAGGTAAGTACACTTGTTAATATTTAGTATGTATTTTGATTAGTGTGCTATTTTATTTTAGTAAGCAACCTTTGGTATTTAGGTAATCTACATACTAAAATGTCTTTTGCTGAGTTACTTAATTAATTTTGTTATTGTTTTATTTGTAAAAATACAAAGCAAAAGTCCGCTAAGCCCAACAGTATAATAATTTTAAGCCAGAAAACAATACTTTGTATTGTACTGTAATTATCACAAAAGCAATATCTAAAGCAGTCTACTAAAATTATTAGTGAGAAATATCTACCTTTTCAGCAAAGCTCTTAAAAGTATTTTTCATTTGCTTCGATATAATCAAAAAAATACTGTTTATTGTCTCATTTTAGTAATCTCAGTAATACACCTTCAATGTGTAAGTGTAAATAAAATGTTTTAAAATTTATGAGAATAACAAATAAAAAAAACTTCACGAGTTATTCGAGGTATTAAAAATTTCTAGTTCAATATTTTAAGAATAATCGGGTGTATTACAAATTGAGAACTATAGAAGACTGTACAAATTTACATATTTGTTATCCTTAAAAATATTACAAAAATACGTAAAATCCAGAATAAGTATAATTATCAAGTAATAAAATTAGGCCAAAGTCATCATCTTGAACAATGAGATTTCTATAAATTATATAATTAAATCTAATTATTTGTCTATTTTTTAGAATTTTCTACTATATACATAATAATACATAATAAATCTCAAACTAAGTAATACTGTCACATGTAAAAAAGATATTCATAAAATCGAGAAAAATATTGTTTATGTCTTTTCTAATAATACCAAAAGATTTTTCTTTTAATTTACAGTGAATGCTGTCAGTTAGTGCTAAATATTTGTAGTATACATAGAATGTTTACTTACTTGAGGCTTTGGAAGAGTTGCATATGCAAAATAAAATACCAGAATCCAATTTTTTAAAATATATCACGCTGGTAGCGTAATTTTGGTAGAGTGCATGATAGGCAAAATCATTACAGCGCGAGACTATCGCGTTTGGACGACGGTATTTTGTATGCGGAGCATCAGATTTTGGAGGGGAAACAAATTCTTTTTCTTGATTTTCGTCTCAAATATGAAATATATTTCAACTGCAGTACAAAAACGATATACACAATTAGTCATTTTGTCATCTAGGTCAACTGGCTCACCCTGTATTTTGCATACAAAACCTCTTCCTGAGTCTTTTGAACAACCAATTATGGCACCACATGGTTTCAAGGACATATTAATTGACTGTGAAAAAACCTGTGCTTGAAATGGTTATATGTTTAGCTCAAAAGGGGGTTGAGGAGGATATTCTGGAGACTGTGTTTCACTTGATCTACGTCTTGTTGGTGATGCAGCTCCTAATTCGTCTGACTTGTTGCTGTGGGACCGAGCCAATTTGTGTAATCTAAAGAAAAGATGAAAACAGAATTTCACAGAAATAGTACAATAAAATAGTTTTCAATGTTGTTTATATTTCTTTCAAGAAGGCACATAAGCATAAAATGTATTGTCGTTATCACTTATACTTTGAAAAGGGTCCCCATGGTGGCCGAAACATCAGTAATTCAAACATATGTATCGAGACTTTAGAGTCACCTCCAAAAAATTACATATCAAATATGACTTACTGTTTTCTTTCTTCCCCTCTCATCTTTTTCAGTTTTTCAAAATCGTCCTCATCATCTGTTATCGATCCTCCTATACTGACCCGATCCGTACTATCCATACTGTCTCTTATATTTTTTGTTGTCTCATTAGGCGCAGATTCTGACATTTTTGGGAACGGTTCATAAACATCAGCAATCCTGAAAAAAAATATGCACGATAATTATATACATATTTCGGAAACTTTTTTCTTCAAATAGCTCGAAAACAACAAAGAAGTTTCCTCGCCACAGATAAGGGCGGATGTAGGATTTCGTCTAGGGGGGGGGGGCAAACGATATTTGGGGCTGGTCATTTCTCAACCTCAGTGGAACTTCTGGAATTTATCCTATTATAGCTCCTTAAATCCATTGTGTTCTATCTGGTCAAGGCCAGCTTGAAAAAAAAAACATGGAAAATGCTCAAAAATCCTCAGAAAGACAATATTTTATTATATGAGAACAAAATAAGTACGTGGCATCTATAATTAACTAGTGTAATAATATTAAAGATTCAAACATAAAAAACTTCATTGCTCTGTTAACCGAAAAAAATACAACATTCTGAGGACCTCGAGACATATCCCAGTCCATTCCATCGTATGGACGCTAGACGAGACAAAGAAGGATGTCTATACACCATCTAAAGATCTTGTCTTGAGACCTTCTCCAGACTTTCTATAGACAAATTGCGCAACGAGGTCTACTAGCTTAATGATTAAGACTCTGAACTGCCCATTAAGCAAATCAAGTAAATTGTGCGAATACTGGCCAAATCAAGCATTTCTACACCATTATATCAGCAGGTGATAAAAATATCAATAGGTATAGTCAATTATTTTTTGCAATTCAATATAGATGTTACGGTTATTTTTCATTGTCGAACTTAGATTTACGGCATAGTTGTTGTTTTCTCAGTTTTCAAATCGGTGTTGATCGCATGTAAAAATGTTGGAAATCTTTGGAAAAAACTATGTCTGTCTATTTTGATAATGCGTGTTTGTACGAAACAATTTCAGGAATACAGGGCTGTACATATTCACGTGTAGTTCAGAAGATCTGTGATTTAAGCGAATTCAATATAGCAACATTAATAGAAACATACGCGGGAAGAGATGCAGGACGTGTGGTACTGACTTGAAGCATCAATCGAAGCAGTTTCTGGACAGACCACAGGTGCATCGCTAATCAAATCTCATAAATGTCTATTTCCAATTTAGGCGTTCACCTAACATAGTGCTTCGCTGCAACACCAACCCCGAACAAAATGAGTCTACCTTTACACACTTTTCAAATTACTATTGAGCAACAAACATAACATAAATCACTTTTTAATTGGAATCTGTATAGCTAATATATTATTCAGACTTAGATTTGTCACAAATCATAATACTCGTATGTACGTATAAATCGTAAGAATTGCGCTGTAAACGTAAGTGAAGTCAAAGGGGGACAGCTTTTGGAATAGCAAAGGATACCAAAAAATCGCAATGCTCAGTTCATACAGCTATAACTTATAGTTAGTATGCCTCTGTCGCCATGATGTGTCAGAAAATAACACAATGGTGTCAGATTACAAAAGCAAGTGTCATAGGTCTAGGGGAGGCGCCCCCCTCTAAATCCGCCACTGGCCACAGAATATCTAATAGAAGGTAGACGAAAATTACTCTACATTTTTGGATCTTGAGAGCTCGCCGCTCGCTGACTGAAACGTCGGCTCCGCTCACGTGGAAGTAGTTTAAAGTATAGTGCATTTGTTTTGCATTGGTGTGGAGGAGCAATAACAATAGTTACTCTCGCAAAGAACATTTTTTACCAACATTTTAATGCAACAACAAATTAATGTCAATGTTTAATTTTTTTATATATTCGATAAAAGTAAGGAATTTACTAAAAATTTATCTGATATTAAGATGACCTTGAAGATCAAGGTCAGGTTGATTGGCAAGAATATACTGGGACTTAAAGTTGCCCGCAATTTGCATTTCAGGAACTAAAAATGGATGTTTCGCGTTAAAAATTCATTTGATATTCATATGACCTTGACCATAGTGAAGGTCATGGACATACAGTAGCGAACAGAAGTTTTAAAACAAATATTAACATTATTATGAACTATTTCATATACCTAAATTAAAACTGAGAAGGAACAGATAATATAAATATTAAAGTCTACCTTTGGCTCCTGTGCTAATACAAGATTTATCTTATCAATAGTCAAATTCTCTGAAAATAAAAACACGCGCTTTTTTAAATACCACAGTTTTTGTAATGACAAAAGTATGGAAACATTTCTGTTTTGCTGTATTTATTCGTTCTGCGATACACTGATATTGCGTGCGGTAAATATTAACATCAGTGAGAATGGCAAAAGGAAAAGATTTTCAAAAGATTTATGAGATAAAGTAATTGAATTATTTAGAAGTGGTGTCAGAAATGTTGACATTTCTCAAAGATTAAAAATGAACAGAAACGATTTCGAAAATTATTAGTAAATATCAAGAATACGGATCAACAACAACGCGGCCCAGGTGCGGAAGACCGAGTAAAAAACCGATCATGTTTTGGATCGCTACATTAAACGTTTGTCCCATGAAGATCCCCGAATGCCAGCCACACAGATTTTCAAAAGAATCGCTTGGTGGATTTTGGGATTGTTGGTAGGCGTCCAGTGCAAATGCCTCTCACAAAAAATCGTATTGCTCGGCTTGAATTTGCTAAAACTCATCTAACTTGGACAAAACAACAATGGAATACAGTTTTATGGAGCGACGAAAGCAAATTTAACTTGTTTGGAACTGACGGTACGGCAAATGCGAGACGTCCAATACGAAAAAGATTCAACAAAAAGTATCAGTTGCCAACAGTTAAGCACGGTGGAGGCAACATTATGGTTTGGGGCTGTTTTTCTAGTTCTGGAAAGGGTCCAATAGTTAAAATTGTTGGGAAAATGAATAAAAAACTTTACAAACATATTCTTAATGAACACATGCTCCCTTTTGCTGAAAAAGAAATGCCTTTACGATGGACATTCCAGCAAGATAATGACCCCAAGCATACCTCAAAATTCGCAAATGAACGGGTTAAGACTAAAAAATGTAAATGTTCTTACATGACCTTCGCAGTAACCGGACCTAAGCCCTATAGAACATCTTTGGGAGCATGTTAAAAGACAACCGACAAGAAAAACTTTTGAAAATAGGAACGATTTATTTGATTATATAAAAAATATTTGGTAAAAATATCCCAACGGACGTCAAAATTGGTGTCTTCTATGAGAAGCAGATGTCAGGCAGTGTTGAATGCTAAAGGCTATGCTACCAAATATTAGCTAAGCAGTATTTTTAAATCTTTTTATAGAGTTATTGTATTTAATTTTGTACTAAAAAATATGTTTCCATAGTTTTTGTACAAGCATTTTTGAAACCCTCGCCTCCGCCACTGGTCGTCACGCTGACGTCACGACTGCCGAGAAGCAACGCCGCCGCCAAAGAACTTCTCCGCGGACCATCGAGCAAGACACACATATATTTGTAACCATATCAATACAATGTAGATACAGTCCACTTACGAAAAAATAAACAGTACCAAACAAAAATAGGTCTTCTTAGAAGACTAGTTGGAAAATACCCCAAAACTTTTGTCATCTCATTCTTGGTCATAAAATAATATGAAGATATTTTAATGCTAGCATGTAGTAAAACATCAAACACAACATCTGTATCCTCAAGACTGTAAGCACACTATATGAGAAAAAAAATAGTCCTTAATAATAGAGAATAAAAAATAAGAGCGCTTTTTAAAAATTACTAAGAATGTTTCCAAACTTTTGTCCGCTACTGTACTTGAACATAAAGTTTCTTGCCCTTTTTATTTTCGGTGTCAAAAATAGGGATTTCCATTTAAGAAAACTATCTTGACCTTCAAATGAGTATAGACAATATCACCCCTGGATGAATCTTTTCAAACCCTACAATTATATTACAAAACTTTTTTCATGAAACGAATTTCTCGAGATATTTTGTCCTTTCCCTACTTTCTGGACACCCTCAAATACCCATGAAGATCATGGTCAAGCTCATGGGCCAAGACATACTTAAAAGAAAAATTTCCCGCATTACATTTCCTGTGTTAAAAAACTAGTTTCATTTAAGAAAACTGTCTTGAGTAAGTGGCACAAGGCTAAACGGTCCATTCCCATCGACAGCCGGACTAAGTTGCGTTTACTCTGTATTAGATATGCGGTGGCCAATATATACTTACGCATTAGCATAGCTACTTGTCTTGTGAATACTCGAACTAGGTACACTGATCGGTTGAGTTGGTGGGGGAGGTCCAAAAATACTCTCTACTGTTGGATGACACTCTTTTGCAGATCGTTGCGATGTCAGTGTAGTTTGTTCGTCCACCTAAAACGAAAATTCGAAATATGTTTGACAAAGATGAAACTTCTATCATAAATTAACAAAATAATTCGAACCAAAATGCACGTTTCGAACATTCGGAAGCAAAGAGGAGGCAGTCTTGTAAATAAAAATCACTAAAAGGCCACTGCAGGATAGCCATAAGGCCCGGTAGGCAGTCTAATAAGTTCATAGTAGGTTCAGCCCTGTGGCTTTTGATCTAAAGTAGAGAGTCACACAATCTTCTGGCTTGTAAACTCATAGGTCACTGAAGATTAAATCCTCAAGGGAATATTACAGGATCTTATTATGTGCTCCAAATCCTAGCAAAAAGATGAAACAGCATTCCACTTCCTAGACGTGTACCTTGGAGCTGAGATGTTCGGCTTGACAAGCTTGTTAGAAGATAGATTCACTACACAGGCTAGTCAGATACGGTAGGCTTTCTTCAAAGTCTGGGACATCCGACGTTAAGTCTTAATGCTGGTTTTGCTGTTAGTTTTAGTCTCAGTTTCGGTGGTCGGCAAACATTGCTAATGTTGCTCTCCATCTTAACCATTTTGATAGGAAATAACGCCTTTTAATTTCTTACCTCTTCAATAACTTCATCAGTAATTTTCTTTATAAGTTCTGGTTTAAGGACAGTATCAGGATTAGGAAGTAAGTTATTCAATTCGTTTGCTTCCATCTTAGAATCTTGCCTATTATCTTCACGGCTGAAGAACCTCTTTAACATATTCGTCACTGAATTGACTCTTGAAATTGAATCTGGAAAAAAAGTGGATTGTTTTACTTTGGACAAAAGGACTTCTTAATTTCATTATGGTTGTTACATTTAATTGATAGTCTGCATATTGCTTGAATTATCCTTGAGTAATCCCCACAAAAGCGTCAAGCGGCGTTGAAGTGTATGGACATTGTAAGCCAATGGACATCAGCTTTGTAAGAAATTACACGGCCATCAGTAAAAATATATAATTAATGTGCATGTTAAGACCTTTACTTTGGCACCTACCTGGAACTGAAGTACCCATCGAACTCTGAGAAGCTCTGGACCTCATATAGTTCCCACCCTGGTCAGGAGTGGCAGAAAACGTAATTGGTCCGGATTCGAAAGCCGAATAAGCAGAATTCATGATGTTATCATCACCTTTGGACATATTTGAGTTCATCATCAAACCTGGTCCTACTAAGTCTTGGTCTGGCTTTGCTTTATTGACAGCGATGTTTGCAGTTGATGGCAAAGGATGAGTATCCCTGGAAGAAGGAATTAAAATTCAATTATCATCACGATTCCTATTGTCACAGCCAAGTGCGTACCTAGCTCAAAACAAAAGGGGAGGCAGCTTCAAAAAACCTTAGGTGGAAGTTCCACAAATCATATCTACTTTACTATGCTTGATATTTTCTCTCTGTTTGAATTTCAATGTCATATCTATTGATTCACAGTCTTCCACGAGGATTCGAGGATTGATAAGGAGATGGAACTACTAGAACTACTTTTTTCAGCCCTTCAACTCACTCAAAATCCATACGAGGTGGTCATTATGTTTGGTCAAGTCAATAAGCCAGGAAAGTACTGTAATCGCGATAAAACCTCAAATGAATAAACGATTTTCATAAATATAAAATAGTTGGTACATCTTTTCTGAGGCGTCTGTCAGGTAATCCTTGGCCCTCTATCAGACAGAAAACTATTCATAGTTTTTGCTAATCGGTCTGGTTGCGATAGAGTAATCATCAAAAAAATAATAATCAGTTCCTCTATAAGTTGGAAAGTGTCACTGAATTTTGGATATAATGAAAAATTTCTTTAGAGGAGACAAGATTAAAAAAATTATACTTCGTATTTTGATATATTTATTATTAAAATTCTAATCACGTCCAGTCACTTCGATGTAACTCCAAACACAACAAGAGGTGCCCAATTCAAAAATGAGTGGAATGGACTCCGAGTTGAAAAATCGGGAAAATGCGATTGCAAGATGTTATCTAGAAACGTAACAATACTTATTTGATCAGGCTAACTAGCCAAAAATAACCCTGTTGTAGAAGAAATTGTATAGAAGGATTTTACAAAGGAATTATATATTCTTTAGAGTGAATGCAAAGACCCCTCATCTCAAAGTAAAAAAAGTCTAGATAACTTTTTTATCAAACTTAAAAGTTATAAGTCTGTATCAGAATTATAGGGGATGAGTAGACAGACCTTCAAAATGAGAACTAATAGATATGTCTAGTTTGCTGATTAACAGAAACAAAAATTGTCAAAAGTGTCGAAACTGCTGCAAAAATTTAGACATTCAGGGTGAGTTTTCAGTATGCAATTGGTCAATATCTCCATTACTACAAAAGAGAATCAAAAATGTATTTACAAAAATTGAGGATAATTATACGCTTCCTACTTGGAAAATCTACTGCTCTCTACGGTTATTCATAACGACATACAAGAAAATCATGCATTTTTATTATATTCTAATATGCCATTTCAAAGGAAGAGGTTTTGATATAGATGGGGATATAATACATATATATTATACTAATCCGAGAAGTAGTTTTTCTTTGTTTGTATTTATTCGTTGGTTTCCTGCTATTACTTGTAATTAGTTTCATAGAATATGTAGAAGAATATTTAGGTAGTGTATTCTAGAGTGATTTAAAAAATAAGTTTGTCATATTATCACCAATGTGATATTCCAAAACCGTAAGACATACGGGTCGGTTGAATGATGGCAAAGTTGCCTAATTATCGGTATATTTTAGAAAATTCTTCTGAAAAGTTTGGAGTATCCCAGAGGATACACGAAAAAGGAAACGATCTTTTCCCATAATCGAAATTCTGATTTCAAATATTACAGCATGTCATACATTGATATTGAAAAACTATAATTATTTAAGAAGCAACAAATTTTCCTGAGTAAGCTTTGCAATTATGATATAATATATAAATATCAAAGATGATAAAATTCAACTAATCCTACTAATTTCCCACCTAGTACGTGAATAATTTAATTTTGATAAATAAATGTCCTCTCATTTAATTTTTGCCGAGCTAGAGGGAAGGGCTGGCAGCTAGTGGTCGAAACGTGTCCGCGAGTCCGAAGCATGCTTATTTTGGCGCAGGCACGGTTTTCAAGTTTATCGCCTATCTTCTGGTAGATTAAATGTTAACCAACTATAGGTTATCAAAACATACTACCTACATAGGAAAATGTGACACGGCCAGTCTCCCAATATGTGTGTTATTGATGTTACATTTTAGATTTTAGTCTACCTTGGATAATATGTCTATTAATGTTTTTTAATTCCAAAGATGACTTTAGCAAGTTAGTAAGCAATTTGAGATCAGTATATAGTGTTAAAATTTAAACAACATTACTCTCGTACCTCATAATTCAAAAGTTTATATTCTTCATAAACTCATGTCTCTTTTTCCAAATCAATAGCGAAACATTATTTCATTCTTTCAGCCTACAAGAGAATTCTGAGTCAGATATAGTCCATTTAGAACAAAAATACTGTGGAATCAATACTTACAGTTAAGCAGATTCGTGAACATATTATCACCATTTTATTCTGTTTATTAATCTGATTTATCGAGCAATTTACGACCGATACTTCGAACCGTAAAGAACAAACAAATGTTCGGAGTAGTATAAAGACGTTAAAGAGATATTATGTTGATTCCATTTTTTGACTGCCTGAGGTCAACAAAACTGGTGAAAGCATCTTCTGGCAAATTGTTATTTAAATATTTTGAGAGATAGAGACACTTTACAACCAACAGCATGTTTAGAAGACATTTTGCTTGTAAAGCAAATAAAGTATTGAGCTCTTTGCAATATTTCAATATCCTTATACTGTCACATATTTTAATAACATGGCTTTCCTACATTTCCCAATATAGGTGTATGAATAATAAATAATAAGCAAATGTAAACATTTATAATTGAAACAAAAATATTCACATCAAGTAGCCTCTAAAAATATTCAAGTTATTGTAATTTAGTCATAACATTGGTTTTTGAAGAATGACTCACTTGAACGGTTTAGATTCGGCTGTATAAGGCAATTCCGCTGGAAAAACTTCGTCCCAATATTGATCTCTGACTAACTGCGGGTGTTCGTGATGCATTTCGTCTACAATCAAGTAAGATACCTGCAAAAAGGGAAGATACATTTGCAAGTGTTGTCTTTTTTATTCTGGAGCAACTACAAAAACTTAGTCGACTTAGTAGTGATGAATTGAAATGACATCGTAGAGGACGGCTCAGGGGAACAAAATTCGTTGAAAAATCGTTAGAAGGCAGCCAACTCATCGATGTAATTAATAATTAACATATTCCTCCAGAAGTTACCAAATTCAAGAATAATAGCATTGGCGCTGCCAACGGCTTATGCTATATAATCCTGTCGACCACTGCCTTTAGGTGCCAGTAAAATTAATCCAGTCATAATAGGGACCTTAGAATGAGAGATAATAAGCTGTAAACTCATAGAAATCTTTATTTTGTCATTCTCAAAAGTCTCAGAAAATCTCGTGTCCGCGTCTTGAGATAGCAAAGGTCAAATGTCACAGAAATCGGTGTTTGCACAGATATCACCTCCTACGGGTTTAATGCTATTTGCAAATGTTTTAGAGAACAAAATTCTCTACAACTTTTGTTGAAAATATTTGTTCATACAATTAACCGTTTTTCAGATAGAAAAAATATATAGTTATGCAGAATTATCATTTTTTTAATCAATGCATTATATGTTTGATATTTTTCATTAATCAAATATATGCTTATATAAAAATTCGCAGAACCCAAACGAAGAATTGTGTCACCATCAAACTCGTATATGTTACAGAGACACCATAGTAGTGCATATCTAGGGAATTGCTTTGCAAAATCAGCGGACTACAGGGTGGCTCTGAGCCTACAAGTGTTGACTGCTCTAAATTGAAAAAAAATTGCAGAACCCAAACGAATAATTGCGCCAATAAAAAAGTCATATACAATATTCTGCAACTGCAAGAATAGTTGTGGTTCACGCTGTGGGTGCAGGAAATCGGGGTCGCAATGTGGTTTAGCTTATGGCTAGTGCAATGGGCAAGCTTTCCTGAATGCTTCTTCGTATCCGAGCGATCCCGATGAAGATAGCACTTCTGGCCCAGAAACTTCGGAGACAAATATCTTTGATGACGATATGAAGAAGAGGAAGAACATTAAGAATCATGTTCTTATTATTAAAGTCTACGTAAAACCTCCCCATATTTGAATTTCAAACGTAAGAAATGTATGAAACACTATTTCTAAATAAAACTATAATAAAAATGTATTTACCAACTTTTTCTCTACGTATGATGTAATTAGTAAAAAATATTAAGCATAATGTAATAATTAATAAAAATCCTAATTAAGCGCAACCATATATTTTTTAATAGTTTATAAACTTAATACGGCGTATTATTTATCGGGACTAACGGTTGGACTTGCATTATACAGCGCTCTCAGTCCTGTATCTCAAAATATCATACCATGCATTTATTGACCACATTAAGTATATACAATGTAGATGTGAGGTCTTGCAAACTAATTTATTAACCATCCGAGTTACGTCATAGCATCAAAGTACTCATCAACTGTACAGAAACAGTGGTTAAGCTATGTTTTTTAGCAAGCTTTGAGAACAGCGATTAGACATATTTGCAAAATTATTTTATTCTTTATTTGCATTGACGAATAAATCATGTAATTTAACGCTAGATCGCGAGTATGGATTCCTTAGGTAATTAACAATACGTAGTGCACGAGTTTGTCTATCTGCAGAGGTTTGATATTTGTTTAGATTTCTTTGCACATAACATAGGAATTCAAAAATATAAATTGATGGAAGTGGTAATATTTGTAAATTTTTGAAGTGATTTCTGCACGCTGATCCATAACTGTAATTAACCTCAAAGCCTATTTCTGTAAAATGAAAATTTTGTAAGATGGCACTGAGTTTCCACACAGCATTGTGCCATATTATGTAGTGTGGCTGTGACACATGCTGAAGTACACTACCAGCAAAGTATGGTTATCGAGGCATCTGCGTAGCTGCCTGAGAACAAATAATTGTCTGCAATGTAAATAATCAATGTGGGATGTCCTGTTTAGTCTGGTATCGAGTACTATTCTTAGAAATTTTACTGGTTCAGATCTCAAAATTATACGAAACATGTTTGAAACAAGAATTCTGGAGAATGTTGTCCTCAAAAATATTTATGATAAGTACATATAGAATTAAATCCATACAAAGCGATATCTACGCAAAAATACGATTTTTGCGACCTTTGACATATTAAGACGCGGACACAAGATTTTATGACACTTTTAAGGTCACTTTCAGAATGACAAAAGATTTCTTCGAGTTTACCGATTATTATGTCTCATTCTGAGGTTAACCCTCTTTTACGGCTTATATAATTGGACTAGATCTTTCATTGAAAGGTTGATGTCATATTAAATAATAAAGATTCATTACAAATACAGTAGAGTGATGGATATCTTTGAGAATGCCATGAACAATGCTATTATTCACAAAGTTCGTGAGTTGCCTTTTGATTTTCGCCTTCAAAGTAGAAGCATTGAAACAACCTCCATTTTCGTTTCGAAGAATTGCTCATTCTTAAATGTGGCATAAATCTTCCAAGGGAAGATCTTAGTATCCCTCGCAATTATACCTGAGATTTCGTATTCTCAGAGTTCTGTAACGACAGATAAGGAAATACCACACCTGCAGCAATAGTCCAGCAAGTGGCAACGCTGGCGCCTAATGATGGTGATCGACTCGAATATAGTCGTAACCATAAGCGGTTGAGGGTGTCACGATATGTATGCTTATTTTAGCGCAGGCAGAGCTTTCAAATGAATTGGGTATCTTCTGGTAGAATATTTAATCAATAATAATAGTCAAAGAAAACATACCTTACCTGTAAATTTCTATCAACCATCCAATTAACCTCAAAATCATCATCATCGTCGCCAAAAGGATTTATCATCGACTCGGCCACTTTCAACCAGCCGATGTAAAAGAAAAATTCGAGTGTAGTGAAAATAGGAAAATACAAATCCATTTTATATTTATTATCCTCCACCCACTGATGGCCTATTATATTTGTGATAAAATAACTATATACAGCTAAGGTCACAACCTAGAATAAGAAAAAAAATATTAATTTAATAGCAATAGTTATTAGGCTAATAAACTGAGTCCGCGGTGACAGTACCACCTAGCGGATGTCGGACAGAAAACATTTGCGTTTGACACATAAAATTCCTATTCCCTACTAATCACGCCAAAATGGCTGAACGAATCTGGATTAAATTATGATATATTATTGTCTGGAAAAGCACATATTCTACTTTTTATTCCGGGAAATGACTTTGGAATACATCTTATACGGGCTGCAGCCTAAATGGCTTGATGGAATTTGACATGAGGTGTCTGGCGCAGAGCGCTCAGTCGCTGGTCCGACCGAAATTAATAAGTGTATATAAATACGGCATTTGCATCGTGCATTTACTTCACGGTGAAGATTGGTACATGCCACTCAACAAGACGACAGCTGGAAGCAGGCGTGCCCCAGGGGTCAGCCTTAGCCCCCCTGCTCTACAACATCTATACTCACGATGTACCGAAGACAGCTGACCCAATGCTGGCCCTATATGCAGACGACACTGCTATAGCCGCCAAGCATCGACGACCCGAGATCATCCGTAGGAGACTACAGGATGAACTGGACCACATCCAGGACTGGTGCGTGAAATGGAAAATCCGCATCAACGTCCAGAAGACGCAGGCAATCTTCATTCGACGAAGAAGGATTGCAAGACCTCTCGAAGCATCCATCTTCGACGAAGATATCCAGTGGAGCGACAAAGTCAAATATCTGGGGATCGTATTTGACAAGTCCCTCACCTGGAAAGCCCACATAGAAGCTATCATCGCAAAGACCAGAGCAGCCATGGCTCAACTCTACCCATTACTGGGTAGACACAGCCGGATGCCGCTAGCGACCAAGCTACGGTTGATCAAGGCCATCGCCAGACCTCAGCTCGCTTACGCCTCCGCGGTCTGGGGGTACGCTGCCCCCAGCTACCGCAAGCGACTTGCTGCTCTAGAGATGAAGCTACTCCGGATCGCCACCAGTGCACCATCCTACGTAAGAAACTCAACCTTGCGTAGAGACCTGCATTGGGACACCATTCACGAGTACATGAGGAAAAAAGCGGAGAAGACCTTCCAGAAAGCTCAGGACCACCCGAACGAGCAGCTACGATTCCTCATGGACTACGATCCGGACGAGAGGCCTCGCAACCGCAGAACCAGGTACCCTAGACCAAGGTCCCAGTTGGCACCCGCTAACTGGAACCTTGACTAGGAGACTAGGAGAACCCGCGGTTGCTTAACGACATCGATAGAATGTGCGAGGTAAAGGGAACCAACCCGGCGTTCCCAGAGACTGAAACACATGAGGAGACGTTGTAGCAGACCGCAGGTCACGCACAACACATGGCCTACCGAGACGCTGATGAGTCGGGCCACGCGGGGTTAGGGTTTAGTGGGTATTAGGCGGTCTCCTCAAGACAAACTGGAGTCCCATACACGCCGTAGCTCGGGCTATGGTATGGTGCGTAAACGCATTCCCCCCTCACCAACAAAAAAAAAAAAAAAAAAAAAAACATTTGCTGGTTGTGGACATTCGTTTTCTTAGCGTGATTTCTTTGGTATTTTTTTTTTACCTCAAGTACAATACTGTGAATGAATAGTTATTGGGTTAGGATATGATAGGATATGCCACACAGGCTGTATGATACTTCACGTATTATTTATTGTGAATCTGAATTCACATTTTATATTCATTTATTGTTGCATTAAAATGTTGAATAAAAGATATCCAATGCCAAAGTACGAGGTCTGTAAATTAAGTGATGTGTTTTTTTTTAATCTTGTTATTCAAATATAATTACGATTTTATATTGTCACTGTCAGAGTAACTTCCTTCTGAAGACACACAGCGCTGAAGACGGTTCTTCCACTCCTCATAGCAGTGCTGGAACTTCGATACTGGAATAGCCTTCAGCTGGTCGGTTACAGCCCGAATATTTTCGAGTGTCGCAAAGCTTCCTTGAGATGATTTTTCAACTTCGCGAAGAGAAAAAAGACTCAAATCAGATGAATAAGGAGGTTGAGGAGCCACAGGAATGTTTTTACTGGCCAAAAACTCGTTTATTGGCATTACTCTGTGACCAGGAGCATTATCGTGTTGCAAAACCCAGTTGTTCTTGATCTGATAAACGCTGGTGTGAGTTAAATTTAACTCTTTCCGGATCATTCTGACTGTCAATCGACGATCTGAACGCACAAGATCCTGGATTCTGTTGATATTTTCATCGGTACTTGAAGATGAGGGCCTTCTGCTTTGTGGTCCATTTTCAATCGATTCTCTCCCTTCTGAAAATGCCTTAAACCTCCGAAAAACCTGGGCTCTTGACAAAACACTATCTCCGCAGGCCTGCTGAAATTTAGCAAGGGTTTAAGATGTACTGTATCTCTTTTTCGGTAAACAATTTGGAAATATCTCAAGTGTTTTAAAAAATAGTGTAAAAATCGGTAGGTTCCCCGACACTCCATGTTCCCATGTCTCCTCTCCAAGCCCGGCGCATCCAGTGTTGCCAGATCGAACGCTACCTCGCCAGTCTCAACGCTTAACTTACAAACCCCGTAACAATTGCATTAGTTTGAATATTGCATTTCTGTTCCTGAAACCAAATCTCTTCCACCCTTCCCTCGAGGGCTAGTATAAAAATAAACGGATTTCAATGGAAATGTCAGACATTTAGTTAATTTGAGATTAAGAGCAATTTGAGGTGCAAACTTCTCTTTTGATCTGACAAATGATCAGAGCGAAATATTTGCACCATTTCCAGGCCTTGGTTGATCCAACATGACAGAGTGTTCAACGCAGAGACCACGCCTAAATTTCACTATTAGAGCAATGACGTTTCCTTTTTTGTCCACCGCATGCGCGGCGATCGATCTAGTCCCCCCACTATGCACTTCGCTCCTGGCGAAAACTGCAAATTTAGAAAATCAGACAGTTGTCAGTAGTCGGTTATCGCTACTAGGATATGTTGAGATATGCCACAGAGGCTATATGCTTCACATATTATTATTTATTGTTCTTCTGATTACACATTTGATATTAATTTATTTTTGCATTAAAAGTCCATTGTGAATCTCCTTCAAAGGGTATACCCAAAACGGGAGAGAAAGCAATTACAAAAAAAATATTGATGGAAGTTCCACAAATCAAGGCAATGTTGAGTATTTAGGTAACTAACAAAATGCCGCTTAGAAAGTTTCGAAATCCAAAGTACTTCCGGAGAGAGGCGAAAAACCCGAATTTTCCCAAAATCGTTTTAAGATTTCTCCTAACTTTATTTATAGTGAGATTTCAAAATAACTTGCAAATTCACACAGCCACTTTTTCTCCCCTACAAGATGGCATAATTAGAATTTCAATATGACATTAAGTCTCTTGGCCTCCAGCATCAACTTTATTTTTCTTATAGACGCCATATTTGATCTTTGCACATTTGAATAGAGTTTTGACTTCTGATCCTAAAAATGTATAATAAGACACATTGACAGTGCCAAACTTAAATTATCTCAAAAAATGCAGAATTACTAGGTAGGCCTATCAGATTGTCATTTGTTTCGCACTTACTGAAAAATCACTTTTATTTTTTCCTGACTTTATTTCAGATGGGATTGCAAAATAAATTGCATGTTGTCATTGTTACTTATTTAGTTTGAAAATAGACAATTTGAATGTGATGTTATGTATGTGATAAGTTTTAAGTTTTGTTAGGGAAAAATAAAAACGACTTGGAGTAAATTCGAAAATACTTTGAATTTCCAAAACTGTCCAAGTTCTTTTTTTTATTTACCTAAGCAACTTGCCCATAAAGAATTCCGCGTAGTTTAGGCGAATGTCTCAAGATCAGTATTTACTGTGACCCGTCAATATATTAATCATGAGATGTGATATATATTGACCAGGTAGCCCAGACGTCAGTAATTATCGATGCATAAGAGATCCCAAAGCCCAGGTTTGAATTTGAAACACACATAACAAATATAGTGCTTTCAGCAAAATTAACCTTGTGGAAAGCTCTAAATGTATAATTTAATTTTTGTAAAAAATTATCTCTCCATTTAATTGCCGAGCTAAGGAAAAGGGGGGAGGGCAGCTGCCCCCCTGAATATTACCTTGCACTAATGCAAAACGAATGATCTTTACACTACTTCCACGTGGGTGGATCCGGGGGTTTAGGCTTGTAAGCTTATCTTATATACACTTTATAAATAGAACAAAATGAAAGTGTAGACATTTCGTAGTGCATGAGAGACTGAAGATATTTTTGAGATATATGATCAGATAAATACCTGAGTATACACTAAGGGAATATTAATATGATCATACTGCAACAGGATGCCACATTGACCTCTGAATTTATTTAATTCGTCAACAAGTGTTTTCACAGCAAAATCGTCTCTTATCCTACCTTCCTTTCGAGCTCTAGTTACTATACTAGACGCCCATACTATTGGTAACCTGAAACAAACAATGTAATTACCACATCTTGCTGAAAAACCTTTTATAATAAGGTTCATCTATTATATTCACTTGCAGCATAAGAATGCAACAGCCGTCAAGATAACCTATAATTATGTATTTTAAATAAATTATACAACCATGTCAAACTGGAATAGATCAGTTATGTCACGCAAACTTTGTAACATAAAAATTATGGCGTTGGTGCAAGCACATTCACGTTTACTGGAAACAGAATAACCATGGCATGATTCACCACTACATAGACACCCATAACTTTTGTTTATGGTAGGTCAAATTTTATATTGCTTTGAGGCTATGAAAAACGTAAATGTAAGATTTCATTACAGCTGTAAAGAGTACTAAATCTTATTTACTTTATTTGCGTTTTAACACTAATTAGCTGTATCACATATGTGATAGAGCTAATTAGTGTTAAAATGGCATTCTTATTTTTTTTAAGTGATATATAATTTGTATTGATTTCTCACCAATGTTTTGGATATTTGGGAAACTTCTTATCCAAATCAGCAATAATATCTCTTTCACTCTGTTGAAGCATTCCTGCTTCAACGAAATGGTCCAAGGTTGGAAATCGTTTTTTCACTCTTGGAGAAATCATAGTAAAAATCATCGCCACACAACAACAAACATATCTCATAATGGTGCGTCTCATAACCCTTCCTCTTTCATCCTAAAATAAGATTAATGTCTATTGAAGGATTTTTGGAATAGTGTCGAATATAAGGAGCAGGGAGACCAAGCATCCCGAACGAAACCAAATGCTGATTAAATTTTAGGGGCAAATCTGCCAGCTTTTAGGTGAACTATTAGTTTGTCGTGGCCACGGACGTAGATATAGCTTTTATATGGGGAGTGTCCAAAATACGCTAAATTCATTCCATAATTTACAAACCAGCAGCTAATTCAAGTTTAGGATGTTTTAGAATTGAGGAGTACCAAATATCGGTTCTAACATTTTAATGATGGTTCGAAATGAGAGACTAGGATGTTGAAACCAAAAAAATGTGCAGTTTTTATCTTTCCATCAAAGCTAGAGCTTTGCGATTAGATATAGAAATGAACCGAAATTCATGAAGACATTATGTGTAGCAATTTATGTGTAGGTCAAACATTGTTTAACCTGTTTTTAAAGCTTTAATAGCTATTTAGCTAGGTATCGAGAGATATACATAGATTTTTATTTTGTGATGGGATATTTTTGAGTCACACCGCTTCAAAAATACTGAAAAAATCACGAAGATATTCTTTTCGCTGTACAAAATGGAAATATAAAGTTGTTCATACTTTTTTCAGTACAGTATGAAGACAAATAACGTTATTTGTAATATTTTTGAAACCTGTCATATCGACAAGTTTCGAAAGAACTATACAAGTTGTATTGTTTTCAATCTATAAGGAGACATTAAATTTAAAAATTCTAGTTGCAGGTTTTTTAGAGGAACAATATCACTTCTTTCAATATCTGTTGGTCCACCACTTCGAAATTATGAAAACAAAAGACACTTGGAAAGCAGTGGAGAAGCATCCATGTAACGATTGTTACCATTGGTAACAGTTAAAAATCTTAAAAATAAATATTTTATGACTAAGTACTGTGAAATAATTTCATTTACTTGTTTACCAACAGCGATATGTAATAGTAATTCAGTAAATAGCAAATTAGCCCCACGAAAATAATGCGCCCTATAGTGTCTAGGTTTTGCGAACACGATGAAGCTGACTCGCCTCGACTTGGTTCTCGGTTGTTACCACTTTCATTTATGGATATACTTGGTAGTCCGTCGGGGACCCCGGTACCGGCTCGTGTCTAATCGCGGCCACCCGAGTGCGTGGGGCGCTGCGACTATTATGTGGGCTTGTTACCATTTTTTGATTTGGTTAGTCACTTCTCACTCGTCAATAGCCTTTTTGGTTACATGTAGTGTGCGTGCAATTAAAGTTGGACGAGTGTCGCTGCGTAATCGTTCAACTACATCATTCTCCTTGTATCATTTTTAAGAAAAAAATGAGATCATTGAAAATGGAAGACCAACATCTATTTTAGATAATTTTAAAAAGGAATAAAAAAACGTAGTTTGATATTTTAAATTAAGTTGGTATATGGAAACTCTTGGTTATGTGGTTGCAAAAAAACAGCTTGTATTGCTGGCGATGTCTTCTGTTTTATACACAAAAAAATTGGGTGGACCAGCAGCGGAGTCAACGATTTAAATAGTTTTAGAGCTCTAAAGATGAGACACGAAATTTCTCCGTTACATGTTTCAGTTTGGCAAAACAAGAATCGAAAGTTGTCTTAACCAAGCTTTTAGGCAGCACACTTCTAGATACCGTATGTTTTTTGGCAAAACAGGAATTATCATTCATTTTGAAGGGGATGACTCTGACAATAGAGGAAATTACCGGGAATTGTTAACATTCATTGCCAAAAAAGATCAAAAATTTTCCGAACATCTAGAAACATCGACTGTTTTTTCGAACGGCTTGAATTAGTCATAGCATAAGACGATGAGGTATATCAAGTGCCCCAGACGCTCAGTCCAGGAATGTTTAGCTTAATTTAAAAATAGTTTAAATAAAATACCTAAAATAAGCAAAAACTTATATTTGGGAGGTTCAAAATACACTTTTTTGGTAACAGTTTAGGAAAAGTCAAACGTGGCCACTGTTGGAAAGTAAGACTAAAATACCATGTACATCCCTCGCGACCCTACGCTGTGTTAAGGGTAATTTAATTATTAAATACCTTTTTACATTATGTTGACCATTTAGTTCGAACAAAATAATAATAAAGAAAGCCGCCCCTCTGCCAAAACGAATGGGCCTCCCCTGAACTCAAATCCTATATACGCCACTGTTTTTGATAGGCATATTTGAATTCAGTCTTGTCGGTTTATCGAATCACGGGAAACGACAACAGAAATTTTGCAAACTAAAACTTCATTTTTCAGTTCATATTAAGATAAATTCCAAAATATCTTGCGTATATGCATTTTGGAAGAATTTTTGTTCCTACATTAAATCGGGGGCGTAGATTATTAATATTTCAGTTTTGGGTAGGCTCAACAGTAAGACCATAACAGTACATTTTTCCAATAAAATGACGCTTCGTAACACTAAAGGATTTTTTGATGGTAATATTCGGACTTAGCGCCCCAAATTATGCCTTTGGACAGAGTTTTGTACACTAGTCAGTCACAGAGAACGAAGTATATATCCAATATTCTTGCATATATGAAAAAAAAGACTGACTCATTTCTATCACTATGCTACTGGAACTGTAACTTGTAACACACCCCTCTTCCATTGTAGAAAGCAGTCGACAGTGCCAGTTCAAAATTATTGTATATCCTGTACATTATAAAAAACATACACATTTAAGAAGAAAATATAAAGTAAATACCTGTCCATGTATTGTAGCGCTGACAAACACTGCTAAAGGATCTGGATGTGGGATAGAAGTATACTGATTCCACCATCTTGTCATTATTACTGATACATAAAAACCAAGGACAAATGACAATGGTATGAGATTAACATAGTCCTTACAGTATATCACCATCGATTCAAATACTCTGAAAAAAATAGTGAGAACTACACTGAATTCAAAGACTAATAAGTGAAACTATAAAATTTATTAATTAAGAATAATTAATACAGATTACAAAAAACAGTTTGAACTTTAACCATTCTGAAGTTAGCAGTCAGTTTCTAGCTGCCTATCCTTCTGGGCATTCTTGTGAAGCAGCCAGTTTTCAGCAGCCATTTTTACTGTACCAACTGCAGAGTTATTGATGAATCATATTTCCAACTGATCTTTGCAATATACAGCACCATAGGTGTGGTTTCACCCACACGACAAATGATACTCAAAATCAGTTTTCCGCATTTTTCGCATAGCCAGAAAAGTTGCTACAGTCTAAAAATGGATGATAGGTATCTATTTCGTTAATAGTTATAAATCCATATAGGTCTCATCTTCTTCGGACCCGCCGAAGTGGTTGATTTCATCCCTTGAACATGAGAAAATGCACTTTTTGCATTTTTCATCTAACCATAAAATGGTCACGAATAACAAAATTAACACTTTTTAGTCTGTAGCAACTTTCTTGCTTGGTGGAAAATACAAAAAACTGTATTTCCTCAACTTCAAGGGGTGAAATCAAATTTTCTTTCCATTTTAACTCTGTAACAATTTTTCTGGTTGGGTGAAAATACAAAAATCTGCATTTCGTCACGTTCAAGGGTTGAAATCAACCCCTTTGACGGGTACGAATAAGACGATACCTACAAGGCATCTAATAAAAAATACATTTTTCATCCATTTTTAGACTGTGGCAGCATTTCTGGCTAGGTGAACTGCATTTTCTCACGACTGGCCCGAAGATGAGACTGCATGAACTTATAGTTACTAACCATTTTTAGACTATAGCAACATTTCTAACTGGCTGTATAATGAGAAACACTGATCTTAAATATTATTTGCACTAATGGTGAAACCACCCCTATCATACAGTGCATTGCCAAAATCTGTTAATGCTCCGAAGAATTGGCTGCTAGAACCAGTTATATTTTACAAATTTTTACTAAATGGTAAAATGATCAATATAAATTTGAATGCTCTTCTGAACAAGAATATACAAAATGTTGGAAACACCTTATATTGATTAATCAATTTCGCCAGAATAGGAGCATACACTAATACCTACATCTTCCATTACACAAAAAATAAGTGCTTTGTATTATTTACGATTGGCATAAGAGACAACAGTGACTAATAGCATTATGATAGTTGAACGATATTTCTGATTCGTTTCATTTATTACTATGGGAAGTCTTACAATTGCAACAAAATATCATTTTTACATATATCATGACATGTATTCCACAAAACGTTACTTATATTTTTCCATCTGTCATATAATATTCAATTTTGGCACTCTGACGCTAATAAATTACTATTTAGATTTCATCAATCTATAATTTTGTTTTTCGAAACATCCCCACTCATATGATTGGTAACAAAAAGTATAGGGCATTGTATTATTTAAAATAGTTGAGTAACTTACTGTTTTCCACTTTCATCTAGGATATACCTATATGTAATGTTTAAACTATAGTAAATTGTTAAAAATAATATCAAATCCATCCACACTAACTTGTAGATACTGCCTCTCCACCTAAAACAAAATGCTGAGATACAAACATCACCAGAAAAATAAAATAAATAAAACTAATAAGGCAAATTAACAACTAAACGAGAGATCCAATTTACGATCAGTATTTATTGTGATCCATCATTATTTATCTTTGATTTTGATATTTATTGACTTAGTAGGCAGGACATCATCCCTATACCTACTACTAATACAAATGAGAAAGTGTGGATGTTTGTTACTCAATCACGCCAAAATGGCTGAAAGGATCTGGATGAAATTTGGTACAGAGATATATTGTAATCTGGAATTGCACATAAGCTACTTTTTTCCTGCGAAGTAACTTTGAAATGTACATTTTATAGGCTACACCCGAAATGGCTTAATGGAATTTGCCATGAGATGTCTGACGCGGAACCGCTCAATGGCTGGTCCAACAGAAATGATTAAGGACTTTTGCATTGTGCATTTACTGCATTCTGAAATTCCTTTTCTTACCGTTGCTTTAGATTTGTTTGGTGTTTTGTTTCATGTCAAGTATGATCTATATTGTTTCTGTATGTTTTTTTCTAAAATTTTTGAAAACACAGGAAACAAGCTTATACATCTAAGACTCCAAGTTCAGTAGGATTTGAGATCTTAGGGACAAGTATAATTAAGGTTAACTTCTACTATTCAGGGTGGTATCCTTTTTCTAAACAAGCTTTTGAAAGTGAGTGACATGATAGAAAGTAATAGCAAGACTTACTTTGATCATAGTTAGTCTCAAATTCCATTAGAGGTCATTTTGAGGTCATATTTGAGATCATAGACAAATTACTTTTGTTATACTAAAGTTTTCCGTAAAATCGCTTATCCAATAAATGGATGGTTGTCAAGTTTTTGAGGTATACAGGTATTTCATTGACATCCTGTAAATACAGGGTGTTTCACAACTTATCCGAAAAATTTTAACCACATATGTAGTTACAAAAGAAGTTGATTTCTCAAATAAAAAATGTAATAAAAGCCCTACAGAAATTAAGTTATAAACCTGAGTTTCAATAATATGTAAATTGAAAAACAAATATCTGTATTTTGCGTGCATCATAATGATTTATTGTAGCAAATGTTGTACCAAACAACTGACGAAAACAAAATCCAGCAATTTTTTGTTTTTTCATACTGATAAGAACGTGTAAATAAGGTTTAATCTGTATCGTGGGTGATCTGAATGAATAACGGTCGATTTTTGTGAAGTTAAATAAGAAGGTATTTTGCGAGTTTATGTTTTTAGTTATTTATTAATAAAAATGGCACATGTGTACACTAATGAGGAGTTAGTGGACATTGTTTTAGCGTACGGAGAAGCAGTTCAAAATTCTCGAGCGGCTTCTCGTTTGTATGTAAGTTTACCATTTTGTGTTAATAGCTCAAATGCAAGTTTGGGGAAAATGAAACAAAATGGTGAAAAAATTATTAATTGATCTCTAAAAACAAAAAAGTTACAGCCTATCAAAGTTGCGCCCCGCGAGAATATTTTTATTCCATCTGTACGTTACGCGTGACGTCACACTTCAGTATCCAGTTGCAACATCCGCGGCCAATTCCTGGGCCGGAGCCGACTCAATCTCCTAAACACATGCATAGGCACACATACTGCGGGACACATGGTAGGCTAAACGTCTTCCGCCCCAATTTGTTTTATTAGTTGACAGCATATACGATCGATTATGAGCGAAATAAGAAAAAAAGGTTGTTATAAATACTGTACCGTTCCAAATTGTACGAATACAACAATTACAACCCTTAATAAACTTTTTCTACGTACCTTCACATGCGGCGTCCATAATGGTATGAACCTACGCAGTACTCAATAGTTATCAACTGGAACGAGTCCGAGCGCACAGGTGTATCTTAAGTATTGTATATAAACTAATGACTAAACGCACAGACGCTGTCGAACACCTACGCGACGAGAAGCTGGGCACTAGAGAAGTGTGACGTCAGACGTGAACGAACGGCAGCTATGATTTCGCGCTATAATGCGCCAAATTTAAGTATCAATTTATCTGTCATTTATTGGCCGATTTCAATAATTTTTTCACTGACTGGTTATATTTAGTCTATATTTTGCTGGTACGTCATTACTGATGCGATTCTGAATATCACGAAACTTCTCCATTATTGTGCACGTGGTAGTGGAGATTTCCGCCCCACACGTGGAGTGTATGGGGGTTTTGTTCGCCCACAACACGTTTTAAATGCCGAAGAAGAAATTTTGGATATTGTAGAAGAAAATCCGGGAATAAGCACAAGGCAGTTAGCCCAACAGGTCCCAGAAGTGTCACATGCAACAGCGTGGCGCATATTACATGAGGCCCAACTGTACCCTTATCATGTCCAGAGTCCAGGCGTTGCTACCTACAGACTACCCCCTAAGAGTAAGATTTTGTGAGTAGTGGTTGTTGCAAGAAAATGCTCGAAATGCCCGTTTTACAGCTGATATTTTGGCCACCGATGAAGCTATTTTTACTCGTAATGGGATAACCAATTTTCATAATACACACGTTTGGTCCTTTGAGAATCCTCACGCAGTGATCCAGTCACACTTCCAACATCGTTTTTTTTAAACGTGTGGGCAGGTATTGTCGATGAACGTCTAATTGGACCGTTCATATTGCCAGATTGAATGGATGGCCACCAGTATTTGGAATTTCATCGGAATGATTTGCATGACTCCATGGTCTCCTGATCTAAGTCCTCTGGACTTCTTTTTACGAGGATACTTGAAAAACCAGGTATACCATACTCCAGTTCAGAATATTGAAGAATTGCGTGACTGCATCACAGTGGCTACCGATAATTTGAGACTTCAGGCACAGCAGGAAGGTGGTGTATTTGAATTAGTGCACTGAAATTAGATTAGACGCGCCCAAGCTTGCATTTATAAGTAAGTGAACTGTTAAACTATATGATTTTATTATCTCGATGTCTGTAGGACTTTTGTTTTTTTTTTGTGAAATCAACTTCTTTGGTAACAGTGCATATGTGGTTAAAATTTGTCGGATAAGTTGTGAAACACCCTGTAAAAGCAAATCTGATGATGAGTTTATAGATATACATGCCTGTAACCTCCTTCATGTACAAATGTGTGAGTGTACAAATTTGTATGTCTCTTCATATTGCAGTTCAGACATGATGCTGTCAGACTGGAGAGACATTCACATTTATAGATTGCTGCATTGAAATGTTGAATAAAAAATATCTATTACCAAAGTAATTATTGTATTACTTTGAGTATTTCTCCTTCAAACTAATGCAAGACATATCACCTATACTTTATATTACTTCCACGGGAGTAGAGCCGCAGATTTAAGCTAGTTATTGATATATAAGGTTACCTAGAATCCATTGACACTGAAGGAATGGTCAGTAAATATGATGATCAGACCACAGTAAATACTGTAAATACAGGTGTGCATTTGCAAATCACTTGGAAATGTAATACAATGCTCTTATTCTCAAGGTTTTGGGAAGAAAAGTGCACTTTTCATATTCCAGGATTACCTTGTTCTATTTATGAATTCATGGTACAGGTACATCAAACAATTATGAACACTGAAATTGTTACAGAATGTACACTTTTTAAAAATTCACAAATGCAGTCCTAATCGTGTGATATTTGTGTAACTGAAAGCCCAAAAAAGACATACATAAAAATCACAGGGCAAAATCTGTAGTATCTAGCTTACTTTGGGGTTTTTTTTACCTTGCTAATAACTTGAGAAAGCAGCCTAGGCCTCGGACAGTGGCCACTTCTGCATTGTATGTTACTGTCATTGTTGAACTATTGTGTAAATCTTGCAACACTAAAAATAATGAGCAATCACAAGGAATGTGCTGGTTTGAAATTAAATTTTGCCTTCTGCTATTTGTAGCACCACATGATGTATAATCAACAGGTTGTTATCCTGTTTATTTATCACTATCTAACAATCATTTTTGATAGCATATTATTGAGGTTATGTCAGCTGTCAAGTGACAGCTAGAGATGAGCTTATTTCAATCGGTTCCAAATTCTGTTTGAACCTAAGTCGAATAATTAAAACAAATGTTGAAATAAATCAAATCCAATCGAATAACCAAAATTTCTGTGTTATGTGACGCGGTTATAATATGGTTCAAGATGACACACGGTTGACGCGTTGGTTTTAACCGCGATTTTGTTGCAAGTTGTTTATTTTAGAGAAGCGCGTATATAATCTCTGATTATTTTTATTATCACTTAATAATAGGTACTTTTTCGTCTACAACGGTGTATGGAAAGTTTAAAAAAGAAACCTTTCATAATATTCATGGGAGAAATGTTTTTTTTTCAGAAAAAAAATTTCAACGATGGAAACATGGTTTTGCAGCTAAGATAACTTTCAGTTCTTTAAAGTTTTCCACATGTCAAATAAAACATTTATTGATTTAGCAGACATTATGAAAAGGCGATGAAAAAAGATATTAGCAAAACCGTATACAGGTGGACATCATCCAGTGAGTTTATATGGCCATATTTTAATATTCTTGTGCTATATAGCTACACAGGATACTTTGTTAAGCATAGGAACTAGATTTAAAGTGTTCCCAACAACAGTAATGAGTGTAACTAATAAGGTGCTCCACTTTATGCTAACACTGAAGTCAGCCTGTATCAAGTTTCCCAAAAATGAAGCTGAAGTACAATAACAATATCCAATACCCGGCAAAATTCTAACTTGTCACATTTCAAATAATAACCAGAAATATAAAACTACTCCTGAGTTGGGTAAATACCACAATTTTGTGGTGATAACTATGACATATAACAGCTGATTCATGACGTCATGGATCTTATAACCAAACATAACCACACTCGCTTGAACGTATTGGTAAATGCCAATTCAAAATAGCAAATACTATTTTCATTTGGTTATCCACTTGAATTTGATTATAGAAACTTATTCTGATAAATGCAAACTCAGATCGATAGTTGGATATAATGAGTGGGTAAACGAGTGTTTAAATTGACTATACATAGTAAATAGAAGTAAACCAAACTGAAGCTTGAATTGTTCCAAGTGTATTCGTTTTTATCATATCTAGATGCAATTAACGTAATCTGAGGTAAAACGATTCAAAACCTGCTTGTCAATATGTATCTAGTTTGGGGTAGGTAGTTTAAAAATTGCTTTACGGATGTGTTCTAATTCGGGGTAAAACGGCCAAAAATTGCCACGTCAGCGTATACGAGGTAAAATCACTCATGACCGTCACATGGTCACATATGACCGTTTTTAGTTTAGAGGAGAGAGAGGTGTGGTGTACAACTAATGGTATAGCTTTGCGAGAAATCAGGGGACTAAAGGGTAATTCTGCGGATACAAGAGTTGTCCCTCCAAAACAGCAAAAAATCGCAGAACCCAAATGAAGATTGTGTCACCAACAAACTCATATATGTTGTAGAGGCCCAATAGGAGTACATCTTAATCAAATTCAAGCGGATAACCAAAAGGAAATGGTATTTACCATTTTGGGTTGGTATTTACCAATCCGTTCAAGCGAGTGTAGTTATCAGTTTGGTTATAAGATCCGTGACGTCACGCATCAGCTGTTATATGTCATAGTTATCACCGCAAAATTGTGGTATTTACCCAACTCAAGAGTAGTTTTATATTTCTGGTTATTATTTGAAATGTGACAAGTTAGAATTTTGCCGGGTATTGGATATTGTTATTGTACTTCAGCTTCATTTTTGAGAAAAATGATATAGGTTGACTTCAGTTTTACCATAAATTGGAGCACCTCATTAGTTATACTCATTACAGTTGTTGGGGACACTTTAATTGTAGTTCCTATGCTTAACAAAGTATCCTGTGTAGCCATATACCACAAGAATATTAAAATATGGCCATATAAACTCACTAGATGATATCCACCTGTATACGGTTTTGCTAATTTCTTTTTTCATCATTTCTGCTGAATCAATAAATGTTTTCTTTGACATGCGGAAAAACTTAGAGAATCGAAAGTTATCATAGCTACAAAGCCATGGTTCCATCATTAAAAAAAATCTGAAAAAACATTTCTCCCATGAATATTATGAAAGGTTTCTTATTTAAACTTTCCATATACAGATGTAGACGAAAAAGCACCGATTATTAAGTGATAATAAAAATAATCAGAGATTATATACGCGCTTTTCTAAAATAAACAACTTGCAACAAAACCGCAGTTAAAACCAACGCGTTCATTTTTGAGAAAAATGATATAGGCTGACTTCAGTTTTACCATAAAGTGGAGCACCTCATTAGTTATACTCATTACAGTTGTTGGGGACACTTTAAATGTAGTTCCTATGCTTAACAAAGTATCCTGTGAAGCCATATACCACAAGAGTTATCATAGCTACAAAACCATGCTTCCATCATTAAAAAAAAATCTGAAAAAAACATTTCTCCCATGAATATTATGAAAGCTTTCTTATTTAAACTTTCCATATACAGTTGTAGACGAAAAAGCACCGATTATTAAGTGATAATAAAAATAATCAGAGATTATATACGCGCTTTTCTAAAATAAACAACTTGCAACAAAACCGCAGTTAAAACCAACGCGTTCAAGAGATTCGTGTAACTGACGTCATCAACCCGTGTGTCATTTTGAACCATATTATAACCACGGCACATAACACAGAAATTTTGGTTATTCGCTTGGATTTGATTTTTATCGCTTAGCCTTGCGAAAAATCAGGACACTTCAGGGTGATTCTGCGCATACAAGGGTTGACTCGTGAAAACAGGAAAAAATTTTGCAGAACGCAAACGAAGAATTGTGCAACCGACAGACTCATAATGTTATAGAGTTCTCATAGGATACAACTTAATGGCATAGCTTTGTGAGAAATCAAAGGACTACACTACAGGTGATTCTGCGCATAAACAGAAAAAAATCGCATAACCCAAACGAAGAATTGTGCCATCAACAAACAACAAACTCATATATGTTGTAGATATCTTATAGGAGTACATACATCTTTATTGCAATAGCTTTGCGAGAAATCAGGGGACTACAGAGGGATTCTGCGCATACAAGGGTTGACTCGTCAGAATAGAAAAAACATCGTAGAACCCAAACGAAGAACTGTGCCACCAGCAGACTCATGTTGTAGAGACCTGACAGGAGTATAACTTTATGGCATAGCTTTGGGGACTACAGGGTGATTCTATGCATGCAAGGGTTGAGGAGTCACCATGTATTCCCCTGATTTTTCGCAAGACTATGCCATACAGATGTACTCCTATTGGGTCACTACAACATACATGAGTTTATTGGAGGAACAATTCTTCGTTTTGGTTTTTTTAGTTTTATATGTACTCACTACACAAACGTGTTGTTCGTCGAAATCACCCTGGATAACCCTAATTTAGTCTAACAGTAGGAGTGTCATGTAGGAAATCATTTTGGTATAATGCCATTTTTGACTCTTCACCACTGGTAATACCGAATTTTTGAGATACTATCTAGAATAATTTGTTTAAATGCCTTATTTGATAATAATTAACATAAAACAAACCTCAGGAGTTGAAAATACCAGTTTTCTAGCATATCGGCGATTTGAGATCACTACTGAACTGATCGACTGTAATTTCATCATATTCGAATCTGAAGCTAAGGCAAAAACAGTGATCATCAGAACCCCTCCAAACTTTACCTGTAATATGTCAATCCGACCACAGACAGCCAACCATGGATGGCCGATATGTGCTTTTTGCTAACTCATCAGCATGTTTGTTTCACGAACATCTGCGGGATTAACAGCAACATTGATGCTGTTCATCACTATCTGCAATCCACTCATCCCGCCATGCTTTTCTTGGCGGAGACAAAAATCTCAGAGTTTGCACCGATTAACCATAGCTTTCCAATTACAAGGTGCACTCCAATCTGAGAAAGAACGGGGGAGTTGTGGCTTTTGTCCGCAGCAATATTTCCTGCTCCAGAGTCGTTTCTTTGGAATCAGACCAGGACATTCTGTGGATTCGCCTCGACTCCAAAACATCCCCCAAATTTATTTGCTGCCTTTATCGCTCTTCCTCGGCCCATAACTGGGATGACCTACTTGACTACCTTGCCGTCAAGATCGACTACCTAAACATCAATCACCCCGCTTCAGAGGTAGTTCTCCTCGATGATTTCAATGCCCATAACGAGTTTTGGTTGGGCTCAAATGAGACCGATGCAGCAGGTCGTGCAGTTGAGGAGTTCGCTCATACTCAAGGGCTGACCCAGCTGACGAGCCCTCCCTTTGCCCCGCGTCTCTTCACATGCTGGATCTCTTTCTGACCACGGATCCTGTCCCTTACACCAATGCAGTCCTGTAACTAGTAACTCTGACCACGGTGATCTGGAGGTTAGGTTTCGGTCAGAACCCGCTGTGGCAGCAGAAGCTTGCCCAAGCAGCAAAATTTGGCATTACAGACATGGCGACTGGGAGGGGCTCAGAGACTTCTCTACTTTTCCTTGGAGAGATGTTTGTTGCGCTGACGCGGATGCGTCGACTGTCTGTTCTTCGATAACCGAAATTATCCAGCTTCTGGACTATCCCGAATGTCTCAGCTTGATTAGCGACAGGCAGTATGCTTTCCGGTACCAGCGATCTACAGGGGACCTCCCGCAATTGTGGAGTAAAGTCATCCAGTCTTATGGTGAGGCTCATGTCGTTGCTCTTGATATCACAAAAGCGTTTGATCAGCTGTGGCACGCTGCCCTCTTATGCAAACTTCCCTCCTATGGCCTCCCATGGGTGGCTGACTTTCTCTCTGGCCGCAAGATATCGGTCGTAATTGACGGGTTATCCTTTCATCCCACAACGTCAACGCGGGTGTTCCCAGGGATCGGTCTTGGCTCCGACACTGTTCCTCTTACATAAAGGATCTCCTTTCCTGCACGATCAACCCAATCCAAAGCTTCGCTGATGACGGCACTCTACATGCAAGAATTCATAGTGAAAAGCTGATCTCTGCCGCCGAGCTCAAAAAAAGAAGACTAGCGACGACTTCCTCTCTGACGAGAGACCTGCAGGTTATCACTGCTTGGGGACTCAACAATCTTGTACAGTTTAATGCTTCCAAAACACAGTACTATACCTTGACGAACAAAAAGCGTCCTGGAGCTGATCCGGTTTCGATGGATGGCCGAGTTCTGTCAAGGAGCCGTTCATTTCGGCTGATCGGAGTTCATATTACCGAGGACATGATCTGGTACGAACACATTTCGTCAATAGCGGCAGCTGCTGGGAAAAAGCTAGGCCATATGTTTAGGCCTAAGAAGTACTTTTCTCCGTATGACCTTCTCACTCTATACAAGGCCCAGATAAGACCTAGCCTCGAGTATTGCTCACACGTTTGGGGTGCTGCGGGCCCGACTACATTATTTATGCTCGATGCTGTCCAGAATAGGGCTGTCCTACTGATCGATGACTCTTCTCTAACAGGCAGTCTCGGCACCCTTTCGCATCGGCGGGCCGTCGGCGATCTAGCTCTCTTATACCGCTACACCAACGGGCTTTGTTCATCAGAGCTCTCTTCCACGATGCCGCCGCGCTATGTGCCTGCGCTTTGGCCTCTCATCCTAACCGTGTCGAACTTCGTATTTCCAGAACTGACCGATACGACCGAGAGTATCGAGATTGTGGAATAATAAAGCTGTTCCCAGTTCTACTAACCTTAGACAGTTCAAAAATCGGATCAACAAAATTTCTTTGGGATCCTCATAGCAGCCGCAGTGTTTCGGCAATTAGGCTTCTGCCTGCGCGGCTGTTTCGGTATAAAAAAATGGTCTAGTCTAAATTGTTGGAGACTTTACATATGTGAGTATTAATTTTGTACCAATTCATGTGAAGCACCACGTCACAACTGTCTTTTTCACTGTATGGTTCTTCAAGACATGTATCCAGAAAAATTATGCCGCAGAGGTGTGATCAGAGAGATGTAGTTGACTCCAAGGGCCAGGAAATTTGTCAGCAAAATGCTAGATAGCATGGACGGAGACGGCAATTTATCTAGACATGACAAATCATTAATATAGCATACCTCAGGCATTATTGAACTGATTTTGAGGAAATTTTGCACATTATACGTATATAAAAATTCAAGGTCGGACTTCGTCTTTCAAACTTCCTTTGTGTTTTATCAATATTAGCAAATTTTAAGGTAAACATTGAACATTTTGATTATGGCCAAAAAAACTAATGAATGGTGCTTATTAATTAGCAAAATTGCGCTTCTTGTGGTTTATTAGATAATATTTATTTTTTATTCAAATCATATTTCTACTAAATTCTAATTGCTGTTTCCCTTTAAAGCAGGTTTTAAAAGATCAGTTGGTAGAATTAAATCATTAAAATATCAAAGAAAAAAGTAAATAGGATGCATAACATTATTTTTGCGTTACTTTTAAATCATTTATTGTTATTTTTTCCACGAAATAATAATTCAGGGTAGTAAGCTACAGCTGTGACGTGAGTGAAGCTAAAGCACTAGGAAGTCAATTGGTGCAGTAGTGTAGATGAATCGATTCCGACATTAAGAATTGTATAAAGAAATATTATCGAAGCATGCTTACGACGAGATGCGAATGAATAAAGATCAAATCTATTTAATAGCAAGTAATAATCATGTCCACGCTCCGGGTAAACAGTCACGTCTTAAATGCCAAAAAATTCAAAAATCTCTTCTGAACATAATCTATACAGTTAATATAACATTGGTATTAAGGACTCTACACAACAGATGCAGATTCCAACTTAGAACGGACAAAAACAAAGTAACTTGATATGACGACAAAGCCTAACGACCTGTTTGCATGAATGATGTGACAATGATGAACAAACTAAATAAAAACGTTTAAACACAGTATTATTCGAAGCATTCAGTCCTTGTGGTAACTATTTGGCTGTAGCTGATATCTACGGGGTAGTTTCTGTTTTCCAGTTAGTATAAAATTTTGAAATATTTTCAACATAATGTTTATTGGATATACCTAAAGTTTTTTATACCGTTCCCGTCGATCTATCTGCTTAATGCTTTGCCTCTGCATAATTTGAAAAGTACCACATTGTACTGGAGAAAGTAGTCAACCAAAATCTTGCAGCTGGATTATCAGCCTTCCCAGCACAGCTTCCCATACATTAGCCGTATAAGAGCGATGCTCCCAAAGGCGAATGTAGTCCGTACCAACGAATTCAGACTAGGTAGAAGGAGTCAGTCAGATTTGTGTGTCTCCTTATTCTCATACTCTGTAGCTCTGTAATGAGAATCAATGTGCACTTGACATAAGTCAATTTTTTGTCAGTTCAGTCATTAAATTCGTAGTTTTAGTGTTACTTCTTACATAATTTGCAAAGAGCAGCACAAGCCTAAGGAACGTAGATGTTTCTGCCTGTAAGTATTATTATATTGATACAATGCCGTCACTGTGGTAGGCACTGATAGAAAAGCGAGCCAAAAGTATGCACTAGAGCTACGCAATTTATTCTACAAATAATGCAGTGTGAACATGTGGGCTTGGCTACTACTCTAATGTCTTCAAATTCGCTGGTCCATATTATCCGCATTTACTAATCACTTCATCAGTATCAATTGATTTCTCCATAATCTTATACATCAATAAAATTACGTACGTCCTGACTACACGGTCATTAAATATCGCATTCCATGATAAATACTGAATGATCTCAGTAAATTCTGATCGTGTGATGTTCACCTTAGAAATACTGAAAACAGACTCAATTTTCTTTTTAAACAAAGCTTGGCAAGCAAGCCCGTCGGAAAACTCCGCAAGCAAGGTTTTCGGGATTGCTCGGAAAGTGAGCTCGAGAGGAAAGCTCCGCAAGCAAGTTCGAGAGAAAAGTTCAACGAGCAACTCTTTAGGAAAGCTTGGCGAGTAAGCTCGTTGGCAAAGCTCTGCGTGCGAGGTTGTCGGGAATGCTCAGCAAGTAAGCTCATCGGAAAACCTCGCAGAACAGGATTGCCAGCAATGCTTGCCAAGTAAATTCGACAGGAAAGCTCGACGAGTAATTCTTGAGAAAGCTCGGCGATTAAACACGTCAGGAATGCTCCGTAAGCAAGGTTGTCGGGAATGCTCAGCAAGTCAGCTCACCGGAAAGCTCGCAGAACAAGAATGTCAGCAATGCTCGGCAAGTAAGTTCGGCAGGAAAGCCCGACGAGTAACTCTTGATGAAAGTTCGGCGAGTAAACTCGTCTGGAAAGTTCTGCAAGCAAGGTTGTCGGGAATATTCCGCAAGTAAGTTCGATAGGAAAGCTCGACGAGTATCTCTTGAGGAAAGCTCGGCGAGTAAACCGGTCGGGAAAGCTCGACGAGCAAGCAGGTCATAACATATCTTCTTTCTCCGCTATTCGTTGTTTGTTATCGCTGTCAAAACCAACGTAACAGACGGCTAACACTTTATTTTTGTTACACTAAAAATTCTAATGGCTGCGTAACCTTCAACAGTAGGTTAGGTATGTTTGACAAACAGTTAAGAAAGAAATATTATAGCAGGAATCAGTATTGTTCGATATAGGGTTAGCAAAGATGGCTAAAGGTCCATGCAAAAAAATAACATTAGGAAAAATAATATTTATTTTCATTACATATATTACACACTTTTTCAAAGTAAAATAATAAAAATACAAATCCTAATCGAACTTATCACATAATATAACCGAAACTAATTTAACGTCATTCATTCAAGCTATAACACAAACTCAAGAAAACGATATAATTTAGATCTAGCAAATAGCTGTCCAACAAAACAAATGAGCTAAACATCTGCGCAACTTGTAGATGACAAAGTCGGTACTAAGGAAAAATTGACAATATACCAATTAAAAGAAAAAAAAATACAAAAACAATTCTGTAACTAAAATATTTACAAGAACGCACTTTCTGTAGGTTACAGATATGGCAGTATTTAAATTATTAGTGATATATTAGAGAAATACCAGTATCAGTATCATGTTATAAATTATATACGAAAACCGGTTTCGTTTCCCAACCAATGACCCACTGCTTTAGATTATGTAGAAACAAAAACAGAAAAATTATTTCCGAAACACTAAAATATATTACTATTATCATACCTTTTATGTAGCTTGTAAATATTTTGGTCAGAAAATAAACTATATTTGTCTATGTTTACAAGTTCTTTGAACATACCCATGTTGAAATTCTGACACTGCGTCTATTTCGCCTCAACACTGGCTCTTTTTTAGACTAATACACAACTCGAACTTTTCAAATGCGATATTTCCGATATAGCAAATTTTATTAATGCTTGCCACTAAAATAGATATAGAATAAATAACTACTAACATATTTCAAAGGTAATCTGATGATACATTTTTACATGATTCATCATCAGAATTTTTTTATGCACAATCAAAGACCACACTTTTTATATTTCGAGGTTCCTAAAGCACATTGATAAAGGCCTACATCCAAAATCGCCGATGAACCACGGTCCAAATGCAGTTCATATCAAAGTTCGTATGCAGGTTGCCCCACGTATAACTGTTGGCGGGAGCAATTCGGCTAAAATGTTCTCAAAATTGTGGCACTTCCCGAATGTATATTATCCTGTAGCTAAGTCCAACCATTTTTGAGGTATCTCAAATTTTGCTTAAAAATGACAGAAGCAGAATTTTTTCTCGTATTTTCGCCTTTGCTATATAATCAGTAACGAGTTTTTATTGTAAGGGAACCTACTTGAAGTAGATTACATTCTTCTGGATTTGAATAACGAATAGTTCAGGGTGGTCAAAACAAAGATCATGAAAATTTGATTTTAGAAACGTAGAATCAATCTTTTCAAATGGAAACCACTTTTGTTATAATGTATTTTTTGTAGCCCCGAGGAAAGCGTATGGCAAATGCAAAAATACGAGAAAAATTGATATAATTACGGCTACACTACAGGATGATATACATGTAAATATTTTAGATAAGCATGTATGTATCTACATCCGGTACATCCAGAAATGCCACCATTTTGAAAAATAGTAGTAGTAGTAGTTCTAGGTAGGATACCATGTTATTTTGATTGTCATGCAACATTTTGATTGGTATCAATACAAAGTGTTGCGTCAACATTAATCATATCTACATCTGTTATGGCCACAATCGCAAAACATAACTCTTACATACAAAAAAAATATTTTGGACTTTCATCGGAAGACTGCGTCCTTCAAACTTCTACCACACTCCTAGTCTATAACAAAATGACTCAAAACGTAAAAATATACAGTTTACTTCAACAGTCTTGAGGAGGAGAAACTTACAGCTTTGAATGAATGTAGTCAATAATACGATTTCAACTAACAAAAACGATCAAGTCTATCTAAGTCATTGATTATTATTTTTAAGACAGTCATTTGACATCGTTACGAGTTTTCAACTTCATCCGAACTTCAAGCAGCTCTTTGTTGATTACTTTATCATCTTCATCCTGAAGAAAAAACAATACTCAATATAAAACATAGTTCTGTTTTAAAAAATGGCATCGAGTAGGTCGACTCTGTAGTTCTATGAGGAAATAAAGAATGCTTCCAGGTTAGCACTTCATAAAATATAACCAGCTCAAAATGTCTAACAAAGCAATTGCATGTGAAGTATAGGTTAGATGTTAATCAATGAGTAATGCAAAACAAAATCAAGTAAATTCAAGTCATCCAACTTGATATGATTTTTACCTTATCCGGGGAAGACTGCAACCGTTTTGCCCTGTCAGCGATAACTTTTTCTAATTCTGGCGTTTTGGATGCTATGTAGCTCTCCAGTTCTTTCTTCGCTAAGTTGTCCTTCTGTTTTTCCAGAGCTTTCTGCAGTTCTGTTTTTTGGTTGAGGACGTTTTTGCCTCTGTAAAAAAAATCAGAATTTGGTCAACACAAACAAGAAAATAATTCAAAAAAGGATTCTGGTTCATACTGGAGAAGGAAAATAGTATCTCAAGGTACTTCCGTCGATTTTGGCGAAAATCTGATACCAGATTCGTGTTGTATAAACCAAGTGGGCATGAGTCATGTTCAGGAAGATGTCCATCTCGGGGCCCCCTCCCCGATACCCCCTTATCGAAGATTGAAAATTGAAGAGAAATTTAACATGTAATCCTTGGTTTACGTCTGTGTATGCTACTAGGCCTGCCGTTAGCAATTTCCTAGAAATATAAAGAAGGCCTACAAACTCGCCCGTTTCTGCGAACATTGCAAAAAACGCCGAGAGCTGTAGGCGTTTGAACCTCTCCAGAGGCCGTCACACTCTTTTTTTCGCTTCATCGCACTCACACATACGCATACTTGCCCTACTGTGTAATTTGAGATTTTTAATTACTGAGAAAGATGAGAGGCTTGCTTGGTGCATATTCTCGGGATGCAGTGGCAATTTCGCGTCAAAAGAACGTTTCCGGAGTATATGCCGGTACTCGAGTACTTGTGTATCCACATATAGAGCAGGATATAGGACGATAAGCACGTTTCTGGATCACTTTACCACCGGATGAAAGACTAAGCCCCCACGTTATTCTTCCGGTGCATACAGAGTTGGAAACTCTAAGATTTATGCGTCAAGTAGGTTGACTCTGCATTTCTTATGCAACTCCGTCAGTCAAACAGGCTCATACAATTACTCCATAGTCTTCACAGATTTGAAAACATTGCGATCTAGTCTACCGCTCTACTAACAGTACCAACTACCCATTAACATGGCAACGCAGCACGGTGACAAAAACACGCATATATGTACACGCATCATCGCTCAGTGGATCATCAGCCATCCCTCCCCATTTCAAGTAGAGAGACGAAGATTGAGGTTTTTTTTTTGTCTGTAACTGTTGCCACTGGACCTATTATCAAAAACTAGAAAGATTTTTCGTTCTTGGCATAGTAGTAAGCTTGTATGGAAATTCCATCAAAATCCAAGAGGTGTTTCTCAAGTCATAGTCATTAGCCGACAGACAGACAGACTGATGGAAATAAGTGAGATGGTTATTCGTGATGTAAATGTCATATAACATCAAAAAACATAGTATCTTATTTTTCGATTTTTTTTTACGATTACAATACTTTCCCGCACAGTGGCATAGGAAATAAAAGGATAATAACACGTTAGTTGAGAACATGTATAACAGGGAAGTTAAATGGCCAAGTCAGTCGAACCGTCCACCTGACCACCCAACTAACAATTATCACTCCTATTAGAGTTGCAAGAATGATTATACAGTATTCCTTAAACAGTATTGTATAATGTAAGAACATTGGCAAAACCCTCTTAGAACAGCTATACAAGCGGAATGGGCACACCTAATAGGACACTTCAGTCATTTTAGAGGTTAAATAAGGGCTGCAGGTAACAGTTATAAATAAAAGTGTAAGCCTCTTGCAGCCGCTATAGGACATTTGCGTCAGTGCAAGATTCAGTTTTTGTCAACTATACAACTATTCTGTTACGTGATTCTACTTTATTGCAACCAAACTATTTCTTATGTATTGTATAGACGAAGTGAAGAATATATAACTAACACATTACAGTCATCTTGTTTACTTACATATCGGCCATTGTGAATTTCATACACAGAGGTATATGATAAACTTCTACACTGTGATATAGGGCTATTGAATTACTTGCGCAGCAAATTTTATTGTGATTATCGTGCAAATTAGTTACCCAATTTCTACGGGCTTCGTATTTGATTCATATTTTGACAATGATCAAAAGTATGTCTAGATTTTTAAAATGGAAAACTGAACTTATCTGCGTTAAATCTTCCACAAATCCTATATTTAGACACAATTACACTAATGTTTATCACTTTATATCTGTAATTTAGAACTGAAACATAATTATTTAATATTAAATAGAGGAATAAATGTTTGGCCAATATGTGTACAATCATGGCATCGTCGATGTTGTCTTTAGGTTATTAGAATATTTTGGTGTTGCCTGCAGGTGTTATACAACAATTTGACAAATGTCTGAAATGAAATACCGACAGAGTCGAATGATTTACCCAGAATTTGTACCAGACCTATATCTTCTGTTTGTACAGTTGATAAAACCTTTTGAACCGATATACATGCGTTGTTTGTCTTAAAACATTGGTTATGGCATTTTAACAAAAATATGACAGCAGAAAGTTAGGTTATGGTGAAGTTGTTTACCAACATATTTAGCATATATACAGCCTTTAACAGTTACTAAACAACGGTTGTATAAGTTCTTCCATTGGAAGAAATTTGTTGGCTAAGGTAGTAAATTGCACAGCAAAGCAACAAGGCTCGGGTTTGTTTTATAAACGTTACCATGGATGCCACAACACAACCATTTTGACTATCTTGCAAGTATGCCGTATAAAATTGTTGTATAAACGTTTATGCAACAGTTCAAAATTTGCCCTATAAGGTGTTGTATAACTATGCTACAAGAATATTTTAAACACCTCATTTTAGAGCAAATATGTTGCAACATTAAGCCAACATTTTGGGGTTCAGGCAACAACAATAGAGAGCTTTTATAGCTGAACGGTTCTTTTACCAAAAGCTTATACCACTACTTTGCTAGTTGGGCACGTTGCCTCTTCCCGATACCTGACCACACGACGCGGCACAGCGGCAGTAAGGCCAGCGCACTTGCCAAGACCGGCACGTAAACCGGTGCACCCAGAGAGCAGAAGCAGGGACGCGTATCGAAAGCATTTCTCTACCCTTCTAACTTTTAAGGGCAAATGTACACGGAAATCTATTTTTTGTGAAATATGTCTACAAGGGTAGTAGAGTTATCTAGTTTGGGAGCAAATAAATATACCAACATGACAATGGCGTCGAGTAGATTGACTCTGCACATCATACACAACGCCGTCATCAGTTCATAAAGGATTAAGCTTAGCGCAATTTAAATCCTCTGAGAAAACAGTCTGTTACGAACATGTTCAACAGAGAAATTCAATGGATTAAGTCAGTCAAACAGGCCCTTACAATTAGTCCATAGACATTATTTCCCTGCCCTACCGTTAGTTACTGTGCATCATCAACTTCGTGCCTGGTCCGTGTTTATGTTTTTTTTCGCTGCAGTATAGATATACATATGTTTTGTGGGATGGATTTGTCATCCTGCCGGGCCGGTTCACCGGGCGGTAAGCTTAGAAAGCAGGAGTACGCGAATCGAAAACATTTCTCTATCCGATGCAAATTCACAATCTATGATATGTGAAATATGGCTAAAAGGTGCATATAATTACCGGGGTTAGGAGCGTCTATATTACACTAAGATCAAAAAATGTTCATATATCCTCCACAAACTATTTTTTTTTCTGAAAAAGATTAGGACCATCTGAAACATCAAAAAACGATGTATGAGCAATTTTTATTTTGTTCGTTTTTGGCTTTTATTTCCGCCGCCAATTGACTGATAGTTTCAAGGGGAAGGGGCGGCTGCCAGCAAAATCGGCTGCAATACAGCAGGCTACAAAACAAAACTGGAGGAGTGTGAATGGTGGTTCTCCGCAATGCCTTCACACTGGAAAAGGAAGCAGATATTGAACAAACTTCTTCAGGACATCCATTAATGCTCGTGGTCCGATGGTATACAAAAAAGAACTTACCGCTGAGGGTTAAAATCCTATAAGAAAATGGACGGGGTAGCACCCAAATCAAAACAACTAAACGTAAGGTACAAAATAAAAGGGTACTACTCCATAATCTGGCATTGGAGGCGTAATATCCCAGAATCTGGAAATTAAACGGACGACCCTCGCACAACCAAAAGGCTCAGCAGAAAGCAAAAGAAAATGGCGCTGCCCCCTCTGTAAGTTTTTGAAAGAACGTATCTTGATAGGAAACCAAATTTTCCTATACAGGCTGGTACGTACAAAAATCACAGGGAGGCGTTGATTGCCAATGGGCGGAACCAACTCTACGAGGGAAAACGATATTTTATCAGGAAAGATATAATATAGTACGTGTGAAATTATACAATCAATAAACTATGAAATTTGCCAAAAGAAAATCAGTAAAAAGGGTTTAGCCTAAGAATCGACACCCTACCGTTAATAAGGAGAAATTCAAATTACTAGTGAGTGATCAAAATGGTAAAAAAAAGTTATGTGATTTTGGCACGTGACAATAGAAGTAGGTAACCTTGTGTGACAGAGAGACAGACAGACCGACGGAAATGAGTGTCATGATTTTTCGTGATGTACACGTATATGTCATATATCATCTAAAAAAAGATAATATCTCTGAAGCCTTCAAATGAATCTTGGAATGACTCAAAAGCCTTGTATGATGACATCAACCTCTAACCTCGCCATTGCCGACAAAAGGAACAGGTTTATCAAGCCACCTGTTCCTCGAGTCTATAAAAGGTAATCATCCATCATAACATCATATCACGTCTACCATATTCATTAGCTTTTGCGTGGGCACATTGTGTTCCTTGCCGCCAGCAATATATGGATCTCGGGTCCGCGATCTAAATCAATTGTAGCTTCCTGTTTGCAGCTATTCGCCAACTTTCAATTGTTGAATTCTGCTAGCTGGCTGTCAACCATTTCGCGTTAGAGACAGACAGACCGACGGAAATGAGTGTCATGATTTTTCGTGATGTACACGTATATGTCATATAACATTTATAAAAGCATATCTACGTATGTTATCCGGTACCAGCAAAATAAAACACGTTTAACTAATAAATGATAACATTAAAGACTGCATAGAAAGGATATGTTGAAGGTGGGAAAAGTCGATATATACTACGGCTGAGAAAGTCGGAAGACCACCCGGCATATTAAAAAGAGTATGACCTTCTATTATTTTAAAAGTACGAAAACTGATGATTTCTCCTTGAATTTTAAACAAAAAATAACG